AGCCTGACAACCTAGTCTTTTTATGTTATACTTTCAATGGAATCTTTTATTCCCTCTCAACAATTCCAGGTCAAGCCTCACTCTTCTCCATGGTTTTCCTCACATTGTGCTGCTGCAATTTCCAATCGAAACCGTTACTTCTATATCTATGAGGAAAACAATTCTTCAGAAAACGGACGTCTTTTATTACTGCCAAAAACCATTGTAAAAAGGTTTTGTCTAACTCTGAAGCCCGCTATTCTCAGGTCATGAAATCTTGTATTTCATCACAAATATTATTCTCTCGTGACTTCTGGAGAATCTTTAACAGTATCAATAATAAGGGCAAAGCTATTATTCCACCTCTCTTGTATAATTCAGACTGATTCACCTCACCTAAAGACAAAGCGGAATTGTTTTCTAAGAATTTTTCATCAATATGATCTCTTGATTCCACTAGTTACGTTCTACCTGATATAACTTTTCTGTATTGAAAGTGATTTCCTGCTTAGACTCTTCTACAACTTGTGGTCTAGACAACATACCTGTTGTAGTCTTATGTGTTCTTCAAAACTATATAACAAGTGCTTATCAGAGTATTGTTTTCTAGCATGCTGGAAAGCGGGATCTGTTATCCTTATTTTTTACTTTTAAAAATTCTGGAAAGCAATCTGACTCTTCTAACTACTGTCCCATTAGTCTTATTCCTATCATTAGCATTGTTTTTGAATCTCTAATTAACAAACACATAATCTCTCATCTAGAATCTAATAACTAATTTTCTGGTTATCAATATGGATTTTGATCTTCTTGTTCTACAGCTGATTTGCTAACAGTAATAACCGATAGGTTTTATTGTATTAGATACAAGTGGTGAGGTTAAGGCTATTGCTCTTGACATTTCTAAAGCTTTTAACAATGTTTGGCATGCTGGTCTTCTCTGTAAGCTTTCTTCTTATGGTGTATCTGGTAACATCTTTAAGATTATTGAATACTTCCTTTCCAATCGTGGTATAAATGTTGTCCTTAATGGACAGCACTCTTCTTCTTATTCTGTAATTTCAGGGGCTATATATATATATATATATATATATATATATATATATATATATATATATATATATATATATATATATATATATATATATATATATATATATATATATATATATATATATATATATATATATATATATATATATATATATATATATATATAATTACATATACAAGAATTATTGTATTTTATGTTTTATAAACAAAGTTTTCTTAAGAAAACTTATATTATATTATACTTTAGTAATATGGCTAATTTTTTTTTTTTTATTTGCATTCACTCCCAACAAGGCTGCAAGCAACCACTATCAAGTTGGGAGTTACTAGGAAAAAAAAGAACAGAGTTATAGAGCAAGGAAACGGTTGGCAGAAGACTTGAAAAGTTAAAGGTTGTATGAGTCAGGAAAACATGAAGATGGGAGAGAACTCCAAAGGATTGAAGTGCGGGAAAAAAAACTAGATGAATAAAAGTTTTTAGAGCATGCAGGGACAGATACAGTAAATGAATGAGACTTAGCTGAATGACGAGTAAAACGAGAATGAGTTTTAGTTGATGGAACTAGAGGTGATAACTCCTTTGAGCAGTGACCATGATAGTATTTGTAGAAAAGAGAATGAGATGCAACTTTACGACAATGGGAAAGAGGTTCAAGCTTAGCAGATAGTCCAGGTCCAACAACATTTACAATGTATTTTCGGACCTTGTCAAGAAGAGAAAGTGAATCGTTAGAAAGAAGAACCAGCCCAAATATGACAACAGTATTCCATACAGGGACGAATAAGAGATTTGTAGAAGTAGAGAATGGAATCAGAAGTAAGGAAATGGCGAGCACGATAAAGAGAAGCAACCTTAGCAGAAGCTAATTTAGCAATCGATTGTATATATGGTTTCCATGAAAGGTCAGTAGTAAGCGATAATCCAAGAAGACGTAAAAAGGAGGACTCAGTAAGAGGATTGCCATTCATTTATATAGGAATGTTGACCATATTACGGTAGTTGTTTGCAGTAGCAACTGGATTTTTTTAGAGTTGAAATTCACAAGCCACTGTGAACCCCAATCTATTACTGAAGTGAGATCAGATTCAAGATCAGCTGCTTGTTCTAGGCGATCGAAAAGAAAAGACTTTTTGTCAAGACAGGAGTATAAAGTTGAGTCATCAGCAAAAAGAGCTACTTTAGATGAAAGGTTGTCAGGAAGATCGTTTATGTAGATAAGAAACAAAACAGGGATGTAGATGCTTCTATGCGTGCTGTTAAAAGAAAATAAAAAAATTTAGATTTTAAAGCCTTCTAGGAAGTCCAAGTTAATAACTGCAATAAAAGCATAGTGTCTGAAGTGGACCAAACAGTTATATGATAAAAATATGGACTTATGTAAAATGGTAAATTGGTATTATTTTAGCACAAATAATACATTTGATATCATTTATATGAAATAAAGAATAAGTTTATGTTTGTTTAACTTGAGTTTATCTTTGTTTCTAAGTTTTTCATTGGTAAACTCAATGAAATAAATATAGTTTCGATGAAATAAATATAAATTTCAAGTCATATGATATCTGGAAGAAAACTAACGTCATTACTTTACTCATCTATAAGAAAATTTATTGAAAGAATAGATGCAACAAAAAAAATTTTACTCCAAGGTCAGAAAATCATTCAGATAATACATAGAAAGACCAGCAAAGTTGTTTATGTTTATGCTTTTTTTCTATTTTTGATAAGTCTATTTCAAAGATTAAGGCGCATTTTGCAGAATAAAACTGTTTTTAGATTTTTGTCATGGAGAAAAGTTTCATTCTGACTGTGTTATTCAGACTGTTGAGCACAAATCTGGTCAGTCATTAGTGGCAAGTATACTAGGCCTCTGTACGTGGTAAAAAGTAAAATAAGGCAAGATCATAAAAAAAAAGTTTTACAAAATTATTTGATTCCATAGCTCAGAGAATGGTAACCATTTATTTTTATGCAAGATGGAGATTTCTTTGTTGGACTGGTGAGGTAATAGCGCAGATATGAACCCTGATGAAAATTTTTGAATCATTTTTTGTATCAGTTTTTTTTTTTAAATTATTTTATCTAGTATTTATTTAAAGCAATCTTTTCGTTATTTTTATTTTTATTTAAGTAGCAGAAATTTTTTTTTTTTTTTAAACATGCTGGCTAACTTAAAAATGACCGTCCTGCCAGTGCTTTTTCGTGCGCTGGCATTAAATTTCAAACGGAGAAGACTGCTAATAGCTACTAAGGGTGACTCAATAAAATATTACCATTTGATTACATTAATTTTAGTTTTTTAATTGGTAATAAATATTTATTTTTTTCTTGAATTATGTTTTATTTGTGTTAAAAGAAAAAGTAGATAAGGTGGGTAATTAAAAAATATATGTTATATCTTGTAAAAGCAATAAAGCTATATAGCATCATCTGATAATTAAGATTTTGCATAGAATTTTATCGTGCATCTAATAATTTGGCTAGGAACTGTAAAGTTGTATACATGTTTTGTTTCCACAATAGTTAATATATTTGTAAGTATAGTTTTTTCTAATATAAAAATGAGATTAGAATTAAAAATTTTTGCCTTAAGTTTAAAAAAGGCATTAATAAAAGAAATTTAATTACTTTTTAGTGACATCAAGAACTTATTTGGGTTAAAAAAACCCAGCTATCATTAGAGGATCTTTTTTTATATAGAGATTTTATTATCTTAATTAGGATTGCAAAATACCACTTATAAGAGGTTATGATAACAAAGTTTAACATTTGTAACAAAACTATAGATGTATGCGTTGCATTTAGGTCGCCTTCACACTTGTATTGCGTCTTACCATAGAACAGTAAAAATAGAACAAAAAACTCTTTATGATTATTATTTACAAAAAATATGTAAGTAGAAGAAATTTTGTTGTGGCTTCTTATTACATAAGTAAAACATATTTATATTGCAATCGTATAGTAATAGCAGCTAGGTCATCAGTTCATTCAAAAGTTAATGCCTTTTTTTTCAAATTGTTATTCACTTACTCAAGTTTTTCACTGCGAAATATTATAATAATACTAAGTTTTAAAAAACTTTTTTATTAACTTTTATTTTTTAATTAAATTTTATAAAACTATTTATTTTATTATTTGAAACCTTTTATTTGCATTTTTACTGCAGTTTTACTATTATTTAAAATGAGAAAGTTTAAAGCTTATAGAGTTTAATCTTCTCGTTGTAAATGAAAGCTATGATAAACATATGTGGAAGAGAATTATACATCAAACATATTTAAAAACAAGTTAATGTATTTATTATAACAATTAAAAAAATATAAAATGCTATATCCCTTTATATTTTATTCAAATCACAATATTTATTTTATATTTTAATCCTGTTGTAACATATCCCGTACTTCAAACATATCCCTTACAATCATACATTTCCATGTGAATACTAATCAAACATTTGATTTATAGAATATTTGATTGATTTATAAAATACATTTTAACGAATAATGTTAGATCTATTATATATTATTTATATTTTAAAAGTGGCGTTTTTTGCTGTTTCAAAATGAACACAATTTTATAGATAGTTTATAGATTGATGTAATGATACAAAGCAGCCAGACAATAAGTAATAAAGAATCGATTTATTTTGACTTATTTTATGACAAACTTGCTTTTAAGATAAAAATGTTATAAGTTAAATTTGGGCTGCAATTTAGGCATCTTAACCGGTATATCAGTGTCAAAATCAGTCTGGATCTGTAATTGCACTTTTATTACAACATTAGAATTAAAGAAATACCTAAGGCTTGTGTATCATCTGAGTTTAAGTTACTGTATTTATATTTTTATGTAACCATGATTTTTACTTGAGTTTATTATTGTCTTTTATTATAGACCTGTAAAATGCACATTTAAAAAAAAAATCAGAGAGTCTGAGTTTTTTTAAGTTTATTAATTTTGAGTTTAGGATGTGGACAAGAACGTCCTCTCTTAATATCTGGAGGTAGAAAGTTTGTTTGGGCTGGACTACAAAAAGTTCAAAAGTAAGGTTTTGCTTAGTCAGTTATTTATTTATATTTTTAATTGTTCTAAAGTAAAATCACATCACTCTTTAAATTGTTTGTTATTAATTGAAATCCAATTTTTTATTCTTTTTTCTCTGTAAATATTACCCAAATAATTTTGTTAAATACTACTCAAAAATTTTTTGTCAGATAATTAGTTTTCAAATTAATTTGTTTTTAAACATAGAATCAGTCTTAATGTGATGACTTTGAATGTCGAATCTCCTCGTGTTTATACACTTCATGGTGTACCGATATCTGTGACTGGTATTGCTCAGGTGAAATAATATTTTAGAGCTTTGCTATACTGTATTATTCTATGTTTCTTATACCTTGTTATACTCTGTAATGCTATACTTTTGTTATACTCTGTTTTCTTCCAAGTACAAAGGCTCATTTTTTAAAAGGATTTTATTTTTAAGTTTGTGAAGTTTGTCCAATTGTTTTTGAAAGAGTCATTTCTAGAAAAATATATTTTAGACATGCACTTACTTTAAATGTATTTTTCTTTGTTATTATATATTTTTCTTTATTATATATTGCTATATATTGTTTGATATATTATATGTATTATTATTTTCAAAGCGTTAATGAATTAAAAAATAATAAAAAGAGGTAACCATGGCTGATACTAATTGTGTAATAATTTTAATATTTAAGATGTAAAGCAAAGATTCAGTCTGTGCCGTTTATTAAACAAAATTAACTTTTAAAGTTACTAGAAAATTTCAATTCAATGAAGCTTTTATTGAAATAAAATTTTCCAGTAACTGCAAAGCAATCACAAAAAGGAGATATTTCATATAAGGTTTATATAATTTTTTCATATATTTGGCTAAATAATTTTTTTTTTTTAAGTTATCGTGTACTTTTTTAAAAAAATTCAAAGAATTTTTCAAAGATTTGTAAAAAAAAATTCGTCAGAGTCGTAGTCTGAAAATTTCAACAATTGTAGTTGGTAGTTTTTTTTTACAACTCCACACCCCTGCTTATAATTTAAAAAAATTGCCAGAACAGATCATCTTATTAAACTATGATGTTCATTTCACATAAAAGGCGTATTTATTTAAAATCTTATTCAAATTTTGACTAGCGATTGTGATTTTAAGAAGATTTAAAAAAAAAAAAAGAATCTTCGGTCTGGGTTTTTTTGCGACCTTTGATGTATTTACATTTGTATTTTATGATACAGGAAAATTTATCATTTAAATTTTTTTTTGTCTTTTTTCATCTTTTCATAGACCTGATCATTTAACGAAAATATGTCGTAGTCAACTAAATATCATACAGACGCTATAATATTTTAAAATGGCAATTTTAAAATATTATTTATTACTTATAATAATACTTATAATATTTTAAACTTGCCTTAAAGGTATACAAATTATTTTAATTTTTTTCTTTAATTTATATTAATTTCCTATTTTGTTAATTTTGCTTTCTTAGTTTTTGAAACGTTTTTTGCGCAGCACCTAATTTAAAAAAACTTGTAAGTTGCTGTGACCAATAGGATCATTTTTCAACTTTTTACAATAAATGCTTAGTAATAAAAAATTTAATTAGTTTTTAGGTTTCAAATTTGAATCTCAAAAACCGAGGTTTTGGGTAAAAAATGCTGTATTATATGTACGGTTTGCCGCAACTTTTGACTGGTTATTCCGGCTTATATAGCTTGACTCAAAAACATCTTCAATCCAATCCTCGATCCCAAATACCCTTTATTAGACACCTAGACAGTGAATTTACTTGGTTATACTGATTATACAACAAAGTTAGAACTTATTACTTTAAAAAACTTAAGCAAATTCTGTTTAGATTCTAAAACAGGAAAAAGTTCTCTGTGAACTATTGTTACCTTTATAAACCCATCCCACCTTTCTTGTCGGTAAACTATGCCAGAAGCTCTTGTAACTTCCTTCACAATTCTTTCTATTGATTGTCTGTACAGCAAATTCTAGAACTTCCATCAGGATTTCTAAGAACTTAATAAGTTCTTTAATAATCTTGCATGTGAGCAAAGGTTCGTAAATATCATTACTCCAATCAATCAGTTCAATAATAGTTTCAGCATCGATGTTAATTATTGGAATTTTTCTTGATCAGTAGTATTTCCTAGAGAACTTAAATTTCTTATTAAAAGTATTGTCTTCACCTCAAACATCCTCTCTTCTTTATCTTTGCTACAAAGTAGTGCTTAAAGTATGGATTCACTGTGAGCATTCCATGCAGAGCAACAAAGGGTAAACTGTTTTCTGAATATTTAAGTTCATTTTTTGGACAAGTTCCAGCTGTTTGATAATATGGTATGGTCCACTAGTCCATTTTTGTTTTACCTAAACATTTTTTATCAATAAAATTATCCATACACACAAGTAAAATTTATCAAAATAAACAAAATAAAAAAAAGTTCTTACTTTAATTTCAAACCATAATACAGAGTATACACCAACAGAACTGTACAAGGTGTATTAAATTCCATTTAGTCCATGGTGGGAACACTAGATTCTGCACTGCTTACTTGCCAAGCATACATGATTGTGAGACCAACTTGAATTTCTTTTAAATCGTCTGGCATTACTTTATCTTTAATAGCTTTTGTTATCTGGTGTAGATATCTTTGGTCACTAGATCAATTTTTTATATTACCTTCATCGATATCTAATAAATTAATTTCAATATCTATAGATTAAATTACATTAGTGGAAATTTTGATATCATTGGCAATAGGGTCAAGTTTACCAATATTGCCAGAAAATGTATTTTTTGATATTGTTTTTCCATCAATAACTGACATTAAGTGCATCAAAGGTAATTCATTTGTGTGCAAGGCACAAAGTATCCAAATAAGTTTGGTTTGAAGTTTATTTTCTAAAAAATAAATAGTACCTCCTTTCCATCAAAAAAATTACTTATTTAAGTATATGCATGGCATTTAACATCAAATATTTACCTGCATTTATTATCAAAAATTTACCTGTATTAGCATTAGTTAAATCGTAGCCAACAGCAACTAGAGTGGATTCTATAATCCATTTATGTATAGGTTCTGCTATATGATCTGCTGGGGTAATAAACTCAGATCTGTTTTCTTTGTCATTTGTAAAATGGTACAGATATAAACCACCTGGTTCTGCACAAACTGAATAATGGTCTTCTTGTACATAACTGTGGTGAAATTTTCCATCTTCTCCAATCAAACAAAATTTTGTTTCATCCTTTCTCCCATCAAACATTATACATTGAACTCCATTTCTTTTTACCATATCGCCATTTTCAGATTTTAATTGCTTCATCACCTTCAATTTAGTGCGTTTAATTTTCTTGTGATCTGTCACTCTTTCATTGTCAGTCACATTCGTTTTGAAAAAGGCTGCCTCTTTAGCGGCTTTAAGTGTTTTTTTGCAGCAATTGCTCTATTTGATACACCATATCTTAATGATGCTAATCATTAAGATAGGTGTATCAATTTTTCATATGCAATGAAATTGTCTGCTTATGTATTCAGAATTTTCTTCGGAATTTTTTTTGCTTTCAACATCTTTATTGTCAGTACTCTCAATATTTTCCATTGACACTTTTTTTTTTTGAAAATAAAAAGATCGGTATTCTATTTGTGACTTCTTTTTTTCAGTTTCCTTCCTTTTATAATATTTTTTTCTTGTCTGTTAGCTTCTTTAAAATCTTGAGCACCCATTTGCATACAACTAGGACTGCCATTTTAAACTTTTTTCAAAATGTTCGAACTCGAACACTTCCGAACTTTTGAGGAAAAAAGTTTGAACTTTTGCGAACTTTTTTCAATAATTTTTATTTATTTAAAATTTAAAACAAAAGGGTACAAATAAAACACAAAACTGTTTATTTATAGACTTTTTATTTGTTTATAAAAAGTAAATGCAAGGTATCATCCTGCAACCAGTTTCTGTTTCTATGGAAAAAAAATCCAAGGCTAGAGAGCCTTTTCATGACATCATTCCATTTGAAAATCATAAATTTTAATAAAACATTTCGGTTCTTTAGCTAGAGTCAATTATTTGTTATAATTTCTAGCATCGTTGCCATTTTTAGCTTTTTTATTAATACCGAGTCTATTTCTCTAAGCTGGAATAATCTTTGAATAAGATTAATTAGTAAAATTATCTATATTGTTTCTTTTTATTTTGCTCTCAAAATCATTACCTTGATTTAAAACAACTGTGTTTAACAAATATATTATTTTTATGTACAAAGTTATTATTGTATTAATTTAATTTTTATTGGTGTTACTACATTTGAGAACCTCTGTTTTGTGTTTATTTTTAAGTGTCTTGTAATAGTACGTGTTGAGGCGCATTTTGCTTGTTGCAGCTTTTGGCAACAAATGAAAACTTCAGATCTTTTAAATGTGCTAACGGTGCTACAGGTGATGTAATTTTGATTAAATTTTTAGAGTTTCCAGACAAACACAAAATAAAAAAAAGCAAAAATATTCAAATTTATAAATTTTACTTATATTTCAGCTTGTTTTACAGAAATTAATGAAAAGGTGTATCATTTTTTAAAATTCAAAAGTTCGAACTATTAGGAGAAAAAATTTTGAACTTGAACATGTTGGAACTAGTAGCCCTACATACAACTTTTTGTCCCAAATTTTTCTCTTTGGGATTTCATAAACTGAAGTTCTATTCTGGGAATTTTGTTTTCTCTCTTGCATTGAGCTTTAAAAACACATGAACTACAACTTGCCTTCTCACAAGAAACAATGTTACACTTTAGTGGTGTACACTGGATTTTTAGATGTTTGAGTTTTGACACTTACACTCGTTTTTCAAACTCCAAACTTTTGTATGTTCATACTTATGTCAAATGAGAATGTTTTGCAAAAAGTTGTGGTGATTGGAGCTTGGGGACAAAAAAAACCCAATTTTCGGGCCCACCAAGCCCTTAACGTGGGAGCAACAAGCTGATAAAATAATTTCTGTAGTATTTTTATCTAAGTTTATATTCATTAATGAATTTCATGCAATAACCTCCTAGTTTTTAGTTTTTATGACCCTACAAAGTTTAAAGCCCCCTTAAATTGTGGGGGGTTAAAACTTTATATGGTCATAATTTTTGAAAAATAAGAAATTATTGGATGAAATTTTAAATTTGTTGATAAATATAAACTTAGATAAAAATACTAAAAAAATTATTTTATCAACTTGTTGCTTCCACGTTAAAGGCTGGGTGGGCCCAAAAATTAGGGGTTTTTTGTCCCCAAGCTCTTATCACCATATCTCTTTGCAAAACACTCTCATTTGACATAAGCATGAACATACAAAAGTTTGGAGTTTGCACAATACCTGTAAGTGTCAAAACTCAAACATCTAAAAGTCCAGTGTACACCACAGCACTTGCACTTCACTATAACAAATAGCTTGTCCAGATTAATTAAACTTAGAAATCTTATCAGTGTTGCACCTTTAAGTTAACAATATCTGTAGCTTTTTTCCGTAATCTAACTATTTTATTTATACCGACTTTTTCCGTCATATTTGGAATTTTAGGATTCGCTTTCAACCATTGTGTTTTCACTTTTAAAACCTTTTTGCATGTATCTTTAAGTTTTGCATTTGCTTTACAGTTATCTCTTGTTAGAAGCAGACCATATTTAATAACATCTCTTAATGTTGATAACTCAGAATCTAAAAAATTCACTTGCAAAACCAATCATAACACTTAATTTGCAACTGAGTTATTATTGTATTAACTTAATTTTTACGTGTTCGTTTAGCCATCAATAAAGAACTTAAAATTTATACTAGTTTATAAACAATATTTTTTTGCAAACTTAACGTGTCAACTCAAATGCAACATTTCAAATGCATTATCTTATGAATGATATTTCTTAAGTTATTTCTTAAAACTTATTAAGTCAATTCAAATTCAAATAAAATATTTTTTCATAACAATGCAAGATATTACAGAAAAGTATAGCAAAAATAACGATCTTTGTAAACTTTTAAAATCATAAGTTTTTAAGCTAAAATGAGTGTCTAGGTGTCTAATAAAGGGTATTTGGGATCGAGGATTCGATTGAAGATGCTTTTGAGTCAAACAAAATAACCGGTCAAAAGTTGCGGCAAACTGCGTATAGCGCATTTTACCCAAATTATTGTTTTGAGGTTCAAATTTTACTTAAAAACATAAAAATTAAACTTAAAAACATAAAAATTAAACTTTTTTTTTTTTTTTTTTTTTGCATTAGTTTTACATAAGTGCCACATTTTAACACATTTAAAATTCATAATGCCTAAGCATTTATTGTAAAAAGTTGAAAAATGATCCGCCCTAGTGACCAAGTTGTCTAAAATAAAATACTTATGTGTGGACATACAAGACAAAAAACCACACGCATTTCCTGGCAAGGCTTAGTTTTTGCATCAGAATATTAGTCAAAGTATAAATGTAAAACATTTTGAAATAACTTCTGGTTAAAATATTAAGTTGTCATCATATTGAAATTGATTGAGTTGGATAATTAATTTTTGTCATTTTCAAAACTTTTAGGTTAAAGTACAAGGTTCAAATGAAGAGATGTTGCATGCAGCTTGTCAACAATTTCTTGGTAAAACTGAAGCTCAAATTAGCAAAATAGCTCTTGAAACTTTGGTATTTGATAATAATTTTTTTGTTTCTTCTAAATATAATTAGAATCAAATATATTTAAATAATATATTTATATAGTCATTATTTAAAAAAAAATTAATAAACTTATATATTAGTAATAAATTTATATATTAAACCTATTTTATATAAACCATGTAAATTTCAATATACTATATAACATTTAAATGAATTTCAATAAGTTGTATATATATATATATATATATATATATATATATATATATAATTTTTGTATAATAATATTGGATCTCTAACAGGAAGGTCATCAAAGAGCTATTATGGGAACAATGACTGTTGAAGTAAGATTTAAAAAGTTATTTTTTTCTTTTGAATTTTTTAACTAATTCTCCTGCATGGAAAATAAAGAATCAATTAGTCTTGATGTTGCCTGTTTAATATTTAATATGACTGACTGACACCAACACAAGGCAGTTGAGTTTGTATTTTTTGTCTTTTTTAAAAAAAAGCAGTGTTTAAATGTTTGAGATAAACCCCATCTTTAAATAATTACTATTAAAGTTTTTCATAACATTTGTTGCAAAATAAAAACTATTAAAAAGAAAATTTTTTAAATGGATTTTATTTAAGAAAATTTTTTTTTTTTATCATAGAATAATAATTTAAAAATTTTTTTACAAACCTTTTTTTTTTTTTATTATAAAGTATTTCAATTTCAATTTGCAATATTAAACTTTTAAAAGATGTTTAACAATTTAATATTAATTTTATAAAAATAAGAGTTTTAACTAGTTTTTATTTTTATAAGATTAGTCAAGAATTCAATATGGGTAGTCACAATATCAGTTTTATTAATTCCAGTAAATTATTGGCCATTGACTACTTGATATTTTCCATGCTGTTTGCCATGCTGTTTCCATGCTGTTTAATACATTTTTATTTACTTTTTTTTTTTTTTGAATTTTTGAAGGAAATTTATCAAGACAGAAAAAAGTTCTCTTCTTCAGTGTTTGAGGTTTGTATTTCATACTTGTTTCAATATTTTGTTTTTCAGCCAGAAAAAAAATCACAAAGTTTTACTAATAGGTTGCAACATCAGATCTGGTTCATATGGGAATTCAAGTTATTTCATATACTTTAAAAGATGTCAGAGATGAAGAGGTACACAAATGTTGTTAAAATGTTCAAAATTTCTTGTTAATAAACTTTTATAAATATATACTTTTTAAACTTTTACATATGTTTGAAAACAATATATATATATATATATATATATATATATATATATATATATATATATATATATATATATATATATATATATATATATATATATATATATATATATATATTTAAAAAAAAATGTAGACTTTACCAAAAAATAAAAAAAAAAAATTTATTATCTTATAGGGATACTTACTTGCGCTTGGACAAAAAAGAATTGCTGAAGTACAAACTGATGCACGCATTGGTCAAGCACAAGCTAAGATGCAGTCTGGAATTCGAGTAAGTTATATGTGTTTAGTTAATCACCCATTTAACATAAATATCGTAAAGTTTTATTCATATATATATATAAAAATTAATAAAGTCTTATAAGAAATATCTTTTTAAACATTTTTAAAGACCTTAAAAAGACTATATATATTTATTATAAAAATTTGTGTGTTAACTTTTATTAGAGTACATTTTACACAAGATAAAACAATTGGAAAAGTGTGAAGAATGCATTCAAGATTTAAATATATTTTGTTGCCCTTGCTTTTATGCAAGAAGTTTGGAGTTAAATCCCTGCTAGCACTGTGCTCAATATGTTTAGCTATGCAGCAACCTTCTTCAAGGTTTTGGAAATAAAAAAAATTAAAAAAGGGTTGCAACATCAAAATAAAAAAGATTAAAATGAACAGTTCTTGACTGTACTGACCCTTGAAACTTAAAAAAAAGAAAAATATCCAACTTGACTTTTTTTTTTTTTTTGTATAAATTTTTTGTAAAAAAATTTATACAAAAAAAAATTTGTAAAAAAATTTTTTGTTAACAAAAATGTTTACAAAAAAAATTTTGTAAACATTTGTCAATTATATATTCATATATTTTTTTATTATTATATGCATTTAAATATAGTATATTTTATATATGCTTATTGTGTAAATATATTATATTTTGAAAAATAGTTTGTTTAACTAAAAATTAGGAAGCAGAGGCTGAAGAAATTCGCGTTAAAGCAGAATATGAAAATCACACAGAAGTTGCACGATCGCAAAGAGATTTTCAGTTGAAGAAAGCTTCTTATGATATTGAAATTAATGCTAAGGTAGGGCATTTGATTTTTTATATTAGGATATAAAAAAATTTTTTAATGTTACATCGGTTTTGTTATTTTTTATATTTTATCTTTAATTTCCTTTTTTTTTTTTATTTTAGAAAGCTATTGCAGAGTTATCCTCTGACCTACAGGTTTTTACATTTATAATGTATTATATCTAGTGCAACAGTAATAGTGTTAATTTTTTAATGTTTTTTTTTTTTAATTTCTATTTTATTTGATTTCGTTTGTTGTCTAGACTGCTATTACTAAGCAAAAGATTAAAGAAGCTGAAATGGATGTTAAAGTAATTGAACGTGCCCAGGCTATTAATGTTCAGATTCAAGAAATACAACGCAAAGAGAAAGAGTTAGAAAGTCAAGTAAAAATACCAGCTAATGCTGAAAAGTATAAAATTGAAAAGATAGCAGAGGCTCATAGGGCAAAAGTTATACTTGAAGCTGAGGCAGAAGCTGAATCTATTCGTGTAAATTTGTCAACTTTACTATTTGAAAAATAAATTTTAGCTTGTTGCTTTAACTATGTTTGGTATTCAAAATAATTCAAAGTTTTCTGAATTTTTGTTTAGATTCGTGGAGAAGCTGAAGCTTATGCAATTGAAGTGAAAGCTCGAGCTGAGGCAGAGCAAATGTCAAAAAAAGCTGCTGCCTGGAAAGAGTATCAAGATGCAGCTATGGTTGACATGTTGTTAGAAACTTTGCCTAAAGTAAGTAGTCAATTTAAACTATTTTATGCTAAATATCAAATATTCTATTATTAAAAAAAATTAGTTTCGATATGCTTGACTTTAAGCAATGAAAATATTTTGAAGTTGCAAGCAAATTTGTTTTTGTTTGTTTTATTATTTTATACAAGATTTATATCAGATCCTGACTTATATCAGATCCTGACTTATATCAGATCCTGACTTATATCAGATCCTGACTTATATCAGATCCTGACTTATATCAGATCTTGACTTATATCAGATCCTGACTTATATCAGATCCTGACTTATATCAGATCCTGACTTAGCTACTACTTAGAGTAAAACTCTTGGAATTTAAAACTTTTTTCACTAAAAAGATTTTACATTTCAGGGCTCGAATTGATCGCGAATTGCAACATCCAAAAATATTTCTGATTATATGTTTTAAATTAGAAATTACTTAATTGTTAATAAAAATAATAATTAAAAAAAAAAGAAGATATATTTTAAAGTAAGTCATTAGAGTTTTTGTTTTGTTTTAAGATAACCATAAAAAGTTTAAATCAGTTTTTATACTTTTAAACTCCTCAGTCTTTAATTTTGTATACATATCTGCAAAAGAGTTACAAACATTTAATTTATAAGAAAATATTGAATATAATTTAATTAAGATATAAAAGTATTTTATATCTTATTTAACAATTTCTTTTATTTAAAATATTTGATAACCATTAAATTCCTTTAGACTGTTGTGATTAGCAGTTGTTTACTTTATTTTACTTTATTTTTATAGTTTTATCTAGTTTTTATAAAATGAATTAAAATAATAATGTTTAAATCATAATCTTTAATAATAAAAATAATAATATGGTTTTAAAATAAAATTTTACATCATAATTCAAGATCAACGTAAATATTTTTTATTGAATTAAATAGTAGCTATTGAGTTTAGTGATCAAAACAGTTTTACCATTTTAAAAAGCTAAAAATTTAAAGACCGGAGGCATTTCCTGAGATTGCAATTCACAATAACTTAATTTGAGTCCTGTATTTAGGGGTATAGTTTTTACCACCTAGTTGTAATAAACTTATTTGATAGGAAGAATTATTACATTTATGTCAATGAGCAGAATAATTTTATTTACCTCAAATTTAACTAAAATGGCAATTGGCATATAAACAGACATTTAAATCCCTTAATTATTGATATAACTATTTAAATGGCATAAATATGACCTTATTGATTAAGTTCCAGATGGTGGGCAACTATTAAAAAGCTAATTATATTTGCTATTAAAAGTTTTAATAACTTTAACTATTTGAATAAGCATTACTTTATTTCAATGATTTTAACTATTTGCATAGAGTAAATAACTTATTATATGTTGACTTAACAAGTAATTTATATTTCCAATGTAAAAAATCAAGTTCAAAACATCAATGGCTGGAGAAAAAACCTAAAATCTTAGCAAAAAAAGCAACAATGGGATCAACAATGGGATCATTCAAAATTTGAATCTTGAGTTTGAAGATAATAAAAAAATAATTAAGAAAAAGATGAAAGCAAAAATGATTCAATATAATCTGCACATAGCATGCGTACAATGAAAAATGTAGCAAATGGTTTGGGTGAAAAAGCTGCAAAAGTTGGACACAATTTAAGTAAACAACTAAAATGCGTCTTGATACCAATGTTTAATGACAATAAAAAAAATACAAATAAAAAATTGTAAAGCTTCATTCTTGATCAATTAACAACAGCTGAATATAAGTTACTTTAGTTACATCAATATTTATGTGGCAACACATTAATAAACAAGAAGCAAATAAAACGGAAGAAATTAGTGATGGAATGTTATACTATCAACTACAAAATAAGTTTCCAGAGATGATGTTAATAAAAAACAAACATTAGGTGTGTGATAGATTTAACGAAAATGTTGAAACTTTAAAAATGTTGAAGAAACAGATTTTTAAATTCTAGCAACAGAAACTTTACATGGTTTATTATTTTAAAATATGCTAAATGCAGGTTTGCTGAATCCCTGAGTCTAGGTACCAAATAAAATTTATTGGTACTAGGATTAATTTTGAATATTTAAGGCACTTAATTATATCACCATAAAAGTCTTTAAATATTTCAAAGACTTTTATGGTGGTATAATAAAGTGCCTTAAATATTCAGTTTTGTATTTTTTAACTTCATATGTTAAATTTTACATTAGTAATTTAAGTAAATTAAATTGTTTATAAATAACTTGTCATTTAAATTCTTGTTATCTTAAAAATTAACTTGTTATTAATGTTAATGTTATAATATTGCTAATAATAATAATGTTAATACATTGTCATGTTTTTTTAATGTTGTTATAATATGGCCAATAATAATAATGTCAATACATTGTTATGTTATTTTTTACAATTGAAAAAACAATTTAATAACTTTTTCAATTTATTCATTTTAGTCACTATAAAAGATTATTAAAATAAGATTTAAAATGAAAATTTGTGTAAGCAATACGAAAGCAATTATAGTTCACAATATATTGTTATATAATAATATAAACAATATATTGTTTTTGTATGACACCACATAATGGCTTTTCTCATGTCTGCTAGATTAGGTTCTATATTGAAAATACTGCTTTCAATTTTGCCTAACAGTTTTTGATGGGGTTTTAATTGAGTGAGTTGCCGGGCCATGGGGCATAAACATTATTTACATTTTCTAGAAGCCATATCTTGCTATCTTTTTAATTTTTTAATCTTGCTAATTTTTGTCTGATAGCAAGTTGCCCAGTTGTGAATGAAAATATCAAATCTTATAATTAGAAACCAAAAAGACTTATTTCTCCAAAATTTGATAATAATTTGCAGAAATTACAAATGTCTCATCTTGTTGTAAAAGATGTAAACCAGCACAACCATTGGCATTGATTACATTTCAAATCACAATAGATAGATATTGCTTAATAGAAAGTGCAATGTATTGTGGATTGAAGTGTGAGTTTGGTCGCTGGAAAAACATTGACTTGAACTGCATATCGTGCGCGTGGTTTGAGCACATGATTTGTTGTCGCATTTTAACACTCCACTCCTTGTATTATTTGAAAACTTTGAGGTGGTCAAAAAGAAGATCCTTTATTAAAAACATTAAAAATTTTGAAATAGGTAACTCTTTTAAAATTTCTAAAATGTTTTCACCAAAAGATTCTTTTCCAATAGAGTTCAAGTCATTCCTTGTTTATAAATTTGTATGCACAGGATGTAATTCCTGTTATATAGGCAAAACCTCTCCCCACAAATGGCTGAACACCGCAGGAGAGACAAAAACTCACACATCTAACAATAATTGTTATGATAATTATAATAACAACTGTTTTTTGCTATTGGATTCTGCCACCAATAAATTGGAGCTTAAGTTAAGGAAAAGTTAAATTGCTACTTGGCTAACAAATATGAGCATAATAAATGTAAGTGTTACAAGTTTTTTTTAAACTTCATTATTTATGACATTTAAATTATGATTCGATTGTACCTTAAGTTAGGAAGAATTCCTTTATTATGAATTATAGTCTTCCTAGTTGTACTATTACAATAAAAACTAAATCTGCAAAACACCCTTTATCTCACACCATATGTATAATATCTAAAATATCTCACACCCTTAGTATCAGGTATAGTTATCTCACCCAGGCTTCAGTTGTAAAATATTCTTCAAATCTACTTGTGTTTTGAATAATAGATAAATAATATAATGAATATATCATTAATTATAAATTCACAATCATTTTGTAGTTATTTATATTTTTGTGTCAGTTAAAAGATGTTTGTTTGATAGGTTGCTGCTGAAATTGCTCATCCGTTATCAAAGGTGAAGAAAATGACAATGATTTCTAGTGGTAGCAAGGATATTGGTGCTTCAAAAATAACAGGAGAACTACTTGATATAGTAATCAGAATGCCACAAGCTATGGAACAACTTACTGGTGTTGATATAACTAAGGTAAATAATTATGAAATTTATATTCTATTAAATACTAAAAAAATTAATATTCTATTTAAGACAGTCAATTAATAAAATAATAATCAGTTATATGTGGTAATAATTGAAAGTTGTTATATTAGGTTACAAGAAGTAAACAACAACTTTTTCAATTACTATAGTCAGAAACTAATAAGATAATAATTACGATATTATTTTCCTTTAAATTTCTTTCTTTTTCTTTATATTAATGTCAATTGTAATGTATTGTTTTTATTTGTACTTTTAATATGCTAATATTAATCTTTTATTCTTGCTAATTAATATAAAAACAAAAAACCATCGCTATCAACAAATTACCAAACAGCAACTACATTAAAGAAGATCTTAAAAATGCTTTGAAACATCATTGAGAGCAAATAATATCATTAAGAAAGTGCGCAATCACGTTCAATGTATCAAAATTGAGATTTATTGACAGATAAGTAAAAATAATGATCAGCATGAAAGAAGGAAGGCCAACAGATTTATTATTTAAAACTGAAAAATTTGTTGGTTCATTTAATTTGATGTTTCATTTAATGTTTCAGTGGTTGAGGTTGACAGAAACTGATATTATTTTCTATTGTTCAAGACTATTTGAAAAACACAAAACAAAAGCATTTATTTAAAAATGGCAAACCTTCATTACAGTGATAGTATGATTTTTTAAAGAGATGGAAACATGTAGGGTTATGCAAAGCAGATAACATCGCATTAAACAGAGCATAATCTTAAAGATGTTGCCCGATACACTGTAAGAAGAAAACTTATGGAGAAGACCAGCATGCCAAACTTTATCAAAAGTTTTAGAAATGTCAAGAGCAATGGCCATAACCTCTCCACCTTAATCTAATGCACAATAAAACCTATTGGTTATTATTGTTAGCAAATCAGCTGTAGAACGAGAAGATCAAAATCCATATTGATGATCAGAAAGTTATTAGATTCAAGATAAGACATTAGGTGTTTCTTAATTAAAAATTCAAAAACCTCACTTATAATAGGAAAAAGACTAGTGGGGCGGTAATAAGACGAGTCAGATGGCTCTCCAGAATTTGGGAAAATATAGATAACAGGTGCTGCTTTCCAGCAGGCTGGAAAACAAGACTCTGATAAGCACTTGTTAAATAATTTTAAAAGTATAGATGTCAGCTTCGGAGAACACTTCTGCAAGACTATAACAGGTATGTTGTCCAGGCCACAAGCTGTAGAAGAATCATAGCAGGAAATTATTTTAGATACAGAAGCTGGAGTGGTACGAATGTCAAGCAATGGATCAACCTGTTTGACGGCTATATCAGGTAAAATGCAACTAGTGAAATCAAGAGATGATATTTATGAAAAGTTCTTAGCATACAATTCAAATTTATCTTTAGGTTAGGTGACAAAGTCTGAACCAGACAAGAGAGGTGGAGAACAGATTTGCCCTTATTATTGACACTATTAAAGACTCTCCAGAAGTCTAATTTTTGTGACAAAATATGAGATTTCAAGACCCAAAAATAGCAAGCTTTGGCGTTAGACAAAACTATTTCCAGCACTATGGTTTCCAGCAGTAATAAACAGACGTCTGTTTTCTGGAGAATTGTTTTGCTGATAGATATCAAAGTAACAATTTCAATTGGAAATTGCAGTAGCACAATGTGAGTAAAACCATGGAGAAGAGTGAGGCTTGACCTGGAATTGTCAAGAGGGAATAAAAGATTCCATGCCAGCCTAAATCTATGAAGTTATGTAAGAAGAACATTTGTCAGCAGGAAGACGAAAGATTTCTACCCAAGGGTCATCACAAAGAAGATCACAGAGAGAGTCCCAGTCAGCTTTAAGGTAGTTGTAAGAGATACAATGATAGGGAGATTCAGATAATAAAAAAGAATGAGATAATAGTTTTAGATCAAACTGTGATCAGAAGCACCTAAGGGTGAATGTGGAGAAACTTAGCACTGACTAGGATCAGAAACAAGACATAAGTCGAGTAGAGAAGGTGAATGATTTGGGTTGTCTGGAAAGCGAATTGGAAAGTTGACTATTTGAGTTGGAGATCGAGAAAGTTGGCAAAAGTTGAGGGCAAAAGTTGAGGGCCTTAACACCAGCAGAGTCAATGATAGTGTGATGAGCATCAAAGTCACCGACAACAACAATATTTGATGATGGATAAAGAGAGAGGGCTTGGTCAATTTTATCAGAAATAACATCAAAAAAAGAGTGCAATCTTGAGATGAAGGAGAGCGATATAGAACAAAGAGAAAGGCGATAGTGAAACAAAAGCACATAAAAAAATAATCTGTGGATTCAAACCTAGTTTCCTGACAAATAGGTGAATTCTTACGAATGTAAATGCTAAGGCCAAGCATGTGACTATTGGAGTCTTTACAAAATAAAGGAAGATAACCATCAACACTAAGATCACAAGATGAGACAGCTGAAATCAAATTAGCCTCACAAAGAGCAAGTAGGTCTGGTGGACTTTACAAGAGATAAGACTCATCAGAAGAAAAGTTTCTTCGTAGACCATTAATATTAGAGAATGGTTGGTTTATAAGACTTAGTGATGATGATGGTTTTTTGTGTTTTATAGTTTTTTGAACTTGATTCATTTCTAAATTTGTTTAATAACTTGACTCAAAGCATAGATACTCAAAGATAGTACTCAGTACACTGTTTAATAGCCCAAACAATTGCCTCATTACTATTAGTTAAGCCTAAGCTGTAACAAAGGGCTCCAAATGTGACCTTGACAATGCACACCAAAAGTACAAACAAGGACACTATCCTTGTGCAACATGGCACTGTTAATACTTTGATATTTTCCAGCTGTTGATGGAATCAGCCTCTCTGAGAACTACCACAGAGTTTGAGAAACCTGACTACCAGCCGGCCTCAGAACCATAAAACTGAGTTTTAGAGCTATACCCTCATTAGGAGATAATAGAATGAGTTGCCTAGTCATAAAAACAGAGACACAAGCAAAACCCATGCATTGAGTGTAAAATATCCAGCATTCAACATCCTAATCTGGAATCAATGTATTAAAAATACATCTGCGCCAGCCTAAAGGACGATGTTAAAATAATTTATAGAGAACACATTCTTGTATTAGATAGTCACAGCACTCATGTGTCATTGAAAATTAATGAAGTATGTAAAAAAAATGTCTGATTTGTTAGCCTACTAGTTCATTTAAGTCATGTCTTGTAACCACTATTGTAATATTGGAATTATTTTATCACATTAAACATACCTGGAAACATTAAAATCATATGAATTATCAAAATGTAAAAAATGTTTTCTGTTTAAAGCTTTATATGAAAGTTCTTCACCAGAACACGCGCAGTCAGTGCTTTTGAAGTCTGAGTTGTTTTCTTTGAATAAATTCAATATTGACTTATCAAAATTGAAAATAGCATAAACACTTGATGATCCAGCCCCAGAGCTAGCATCACAATCAGAATCAACTATATCATTTACTGTTTATTGCGTTCATCATAAATTTCATCATCACCAATAACACCAATGTCAAGTGTTTCAGTTGAATATTATAACAAAAAATATTTTAATTAAAAATGGTTTAGAATCTGCAATGAAAAGATTTATGCAACAAATTAATACCTTATAAAAATATCCACGAATCTAAAAGAAATAATGTAAATATTGAAGGAGAAACTTGGACTGAAGCTGAAACAATAAGGAAAATTCAAGCAATGGATAAAAAACAAAATTAAAAAAAGGCTACAAAAGTTATGTACTCCAATATCAACAAGGCACTGTGTATTTTCTGCACTAAAAAGTGCAGATATGGTGCTTCCAATATTGTGTAACAGATCTATTTTTCTTTTTTTTGGTTTTCATATATAAGTTGGTTTTCTCTCCTTTTTTTTTGTTTGTTCATTGGTTGTAATGATGACTGACTTTAATTAAAAAATATATAAATCTGGTGAAGTATAACTTCTTGAAAATTGATTTTAAGAAATTTATATAAAAACTTTTGTTTTCATATTATAACATAAAACAAAGTTCATTATCTATTAAAAAAATATTTTCCATCAAAAAAAAAATTACACTTTCTGAATGTAAACCGAAGGCTAACTTACCCTATTTAGGTTTTTAAACTATAATATCAAATTTTTTAAATATATCAAATTTCTAGACTATTTTTCAAATTAAAAAGTTAATTTTAGACAACTTTTTATATAAAAGAGATTTTATAACAGAGATTTTTTTTTTTTTTTTGTTAATCTAATGTTGTTGTTATCAACAAATCTAATGTTGTTGTTGTTATCAACAAATCTAATGCTATAACTAATAATTGCCACAATTTTCCATGTGCTGTCTTATATTTATTTGATCTATATGATGCTTCCATCAAGTTTCTATTGATTGCTTGTCCCCTTAAATCCCTGTTCAGATTTTATATATGTTTTAGCTTGGTTGCTATGGTACTAAATTTTGCACAGCAACAACTCATTTTTACATTAACATTGTTTTAACAGTATTTTATTTGCTCTAAGTAAACAATATTAAGCGTATGCATTAAAATGAGATTCACAATTCTTATGAGGTTAATTTTGTTTGATTGCTATGGATACCTTACTTTGCATAGCATATCAACAACATATTGCAGTTGCATTTGATGATAGTTTTAATATTATTTTGTGCAGCCGTGGCGCAGTGGTTAGAGCGCTTGCTTTATAAGCAGGAGATCCAGGATCAAAACAAGCTTTGGGCATGTTTCGCCCACGGTAAGGAAGGAGGCGTGAACTTTCTGGTTAAATGCATTTCCGCGGTGCTCTGAGACAAGACTGTTAGGACTTCTTGGTGCACCTAAAATAACAAATAAAAAATAAAGAAATAAATAAAACTAAAAAAAGGCAAGTATCTTGCATAATTGAATCTCATTTATCCAATGAATTATTTTTTGCTGCTAGTAAAAGTTTTAGGGATGAATCTATTTTTATTGCTGCCAAGAACATTTTAAGTATTTCAAATACAGATCAAGCAACTAAATTAGAAAAAAAATTCAGCAGACAAAACACTGCTTTTAATATTTGGTGCCAGTCTGACAAAAGCTTTCTATCAATTGATTAGAAGCGGAGCCTTGGAGAAAGAATGTAGTATCTACCCCGCTTACAATGATGTCAGGAATGCAAAATTGAAATGTTGTCCTGCAAATATAACAGCTTTAGTTTCTTTAAAAGATTTAATGATTAATACTTTGCAAAGAATCTGTGCAGTTCATGAATCTGTGCTGAGGCACTTGATGTTGAATAACAAAGCAATAAAAACAATGACATTCATGTGTAAGGTTGGTTTTGATGATGCTTCTGGCCAAAGCATTGAAAAGTTTTATTAGAACCTGACATGAACAGAGATTTAAAGCATGAAGAATCATTTATTACTTTTCTAGTCCTATTGAATTTGACTGGATTTAACAACAGCAACGTAAAGGTGCCTGTTTGAAGAAATCAAAAGTTGTCATCCACAGCCTATCTTTGACCCATAGGTTTGCATACAAAACGTAATCCAAGGAATCTGTGATCGAAGAAGATCAGTACATTAAAAGTGATATAGGAAGCTTGGGTATAATTTTATTATAGGTTTGCAGATCTTCTATTGAATTGATTTGCATTATTGAACTTACAATGATTGATGGTAATGTTCAAATGGTATTATCTGAAAAAACTCATACCAATGCTGTTCAGTGTGTGGTGTCTCTCAAAAAAGTATGAATAGTCTTGATATCCTTAATAAAGATTATACTAACAGAGAGTTCAAGTATGGTCTTTCCAGTCTCCATGCATAGATTCGATTTTTTTAAATGATTTTGCACATTGCATATATAACAAGCAACGATGCTTAAAATTCAAAGATTATTGTTTTGACACTGTTAGACTATATGTGTCCCTTTATCCATGGTATTGCATGGCTCAATTATTCTTAAAACATTGTTTACCTAAATACTCAATTGTTATTCAATATAGGTGGGTCGAAAACCTAATAAAATTTATTAAAAAATCAATTTACCACTTTGTAACTAAGGAAAGTATCTGGTAACGAAACAATATAAGTATTCATAGCAACTAAATAAAAAAAAAATATCACTTTTATAAGAAGTGTGATCTCATATTGGTACTCATGCCAAATTTAGCGAGTATAGCACTTGTAAAATATCTGAAGATAACAAATTGTTGCTAAGCAAAATAAAGGTATCCATAGCAACAAAATAAAAAAAATATTACCTTTATAAAAAGTGCAGACAGATTAGTACTTATGCTAATTTTAGTGAATATAGCCTTAATATTAAATTAGTTGTTATTATATTCAGGCTATTTATGTGTCTTGTGTGTGTCTATATATATATATATATATATATATATATATATATATATATATATATATATATATATATTATATATATATTATTTATGAATAAAACTGCATATTTTTCACAACTATTAGTTTCATGCTAAATGCAATCATCAGGTGTAAATATCTACTATATACATATTTACACCTGATGATTGCATTTAGCATGAAACTAATAGTTGTGAAAAATATGCAGTTTTATTTATAAATAATATATATAAATACAGTTCTGTTTTTTTTTCAGAAAATGTTGTAATGTAGGCCAAATTCAAACAAAATCAATCTAACAATAGTCGGTAACTTGAAGTTATGTCTGAGATAGCTTGAGGTTATGTGGGTCTCTGTGATTATTTTGGTTATAATACTTATAGATAATACAAACATACCTAATATGTTATCACTTTTACTAAAAATATTTTAACATATATAAAAATGGAGCTATCAATAATAAGTAATATTAGCTGCAGACGTTAGTTTTTGTAGCTAACTTCGTTCATCTTGGTCTATATCTATAGATATATATTTATATCTTATAATTAATATAGAACTCAGGGAGGATATATATATATATATATATGTATATATATATATATATATATATATATATATATATATATATATATATATATATATATATATATATATATATATATATATATATATATATATATATATATGAACATAAATGAATACGAGTTCTCTCAATACTAATTTTTTTATTCAATCTAAGAATTTTTTGTTAGATTATTGATACTAGCATCTTCAGTTTTAATTACAAATTCTAAAAAATGAATCTGTAATTAAAGCTGAAGATGCTAGTATTAATAATCTAGCGAAAATTTCTTAAAATAAAATAAAAAAATAAATATATATAAAAAAAATTATAAATATATATAGATAAAATAAAAAAAATTAGTAATAATTGAGAGAATTCGTATTCATTAATGTTTATATATTAAATTTATTCAACTCTCATACTATTATGTATTAAAATATATCTTGTAAACATAAATGTTTATGTTAGTATCATAGCTTTAATAATGACATTTTTTTTTTTTTTTTAGATTTTCCGAAAAAGCTAAATTTGATGTAATCTATTAATTAGTATAAGGTTACTCGAAAGATAATAAGTTATATTGAGACAACACCTTTATGTTATTTGTTTCTTTGTATATACTAGTTACTGTAATGAACTATTCAAAGTAATATTTTAAACAAAGCACATTCTTCTTTGCTTTAAGTTAGGGGTACTCACACTATTTCCATTAGGCCAGATTAAACCTCTTTTTCAAATGTGCGACCTTTTATCCCGTTTGTGTAAACCAGGTCTGGATTAAGAATCTTAAACAAAATTTGCTTGATACTTTGTTGAAATGTTTTATTAACACAAAAATGTCGTAAATATCAAATCACCCTAAAAGACAGACGCATTAAAATATATACATTGGCAACATTTGGTAGGTGCATATTTCTATTTGTGACGTAGGCGCTTGAAATCGGTTCTTGTTCTTTGCTTCTGGTCTCTACGTCATATATACACACCAAAAAAAAATTTTTTATTTATTAGAGCTGATTTGACAATTGAAATCTGTTTTTGTCTTTAACGAAGAATTATTAAATGTCCAATTCATTTTTACAAAAAGTGTAATCACGCATGCTTCTACTTCATTTATACAAAAAGTGTGTCCACGCCTACTTACATTTTACGCCTACTTTCATTTATAAAAAAAGTGTGAGCACACCTGCTTAAAGTTAATTTTTTAAAGTTGTTTTTATTGATTTTTATTTTTGCTAATTTGTTACAGTTATTTTTTTTTTATATTCCATTATAATTTATGAACATGTACTTATTGAAAATGTAAAGGAATTATTGCAAGTAAATTGACCATAGTGTAAAAAAGAGAAATTTCTTAAACCTTAAAAAGGAGATATCAAATAAGTCATGTGTTGTAAAAAATTTGAAAAGCTTTTTTTTGGTTTCGCATCGATTTGTATCAATTTTTTTTAGATTAAGTGAAAATTGAAAATAAAAAAAGAAGTAAAATTTTGAGTTTTTCACTTTATTTTTTTAAAGAAAAAGAAGAATAGCGATCAAGAATATGAACGAGACTTTTTTTCGGGGAAAAGGATTTTAGTTCAGATTAGTGTGCAAAAATTTTTAGATGATAAAAGATCAGATGCACTAATCTTTTATCGGAGTTTTATCATAATTGATGCTGAAACATATTTTTCGTTGCAAGTTAGCTTTTTTTGTTTTGTTTATTAAAACATATTTTTCGTTGCAAGTTAGCTTTTTTTGTTTTGTTTATTAAAACATATTTTTCGTTGCAAGTTAGCTTTTTTTGTTTTGTTTATTAAAACATATTTTTCGTTGCAAGTTAGCTGTTTTTTTTTTTTAAATTAGTGTTTGCTTTTGTTGGTATTACTTCTTTTCCAAGTAAACTCATCGTGAAGTAAAAGATTTTTAAATACAAAAAACTTTTGTATTTAAAAAAAAAAAATTTTTTTTTTTTTTACTTTTTATAAATTTAAGAATCAGAGATAAAATCGGATAGAAAATAAACGAAAAATAAGTACATTTGTTTCTGGATGACTATATGCTCACATTTCCCGCAGATGCTGATGTATTATTTTTAATTGTTTGTCAAGATTTTTTTAATGTTTGCCACAAATTTATTTGTCAGTTATGTCTTCATAAAATTATTGTTAAATTAGGTCTAGGAAAAACTTTGGATTCATTTACTTTTCTAAAAGTTGCTGTTTGCTGCTTTATTTCTAACATTTGATACCTAGATATTCGGACAAAAGTTCGGTCGACATAATTTGTTTAAGGAGTGTTGCAAAATTGTTGCAACTTATGCTATGTTGTAGTAAATTTAATTCTCTACAAATTGCGTATGATATTCTGCAGCGCAAGACGCTCAAAATAGGCCCAGAACGAAAGCGTGGAACTGGACGGGTGGTAATCAAGATGAACACAAAGCGAACCACCATGTTGAAAAAGCGAATCGATCATAGTGACGGAGTTAGCCAGCGTCAGCTAGCCCGCGAGTATGGCGTCAGCCAAAAGCACATATCAAAAACAATTAGCACCAAGACAACAATCAAATGCAAAAAGAAGAAAAAAAGTTCCGGATTGAACTTCGCAATAGAAGTCAGCCGTTCGTCAGAAGTGGGCCCACCTGGCCAGAGTTTTTCGGAAAAAGAAGGTAATGATCGACGACGAGTCGCTGGATACGCTGGTTTCTACACGTTTGACATCGAAATGAATCAAGAAGCTGTTAAACTCAAGCGCAAGTCCAAGTTTTAAGCCCGTTCTCCATTCAGAACTTTTTGCGCTTTAGAGAAGCGGAAAAGTTCTTTGAGCATGCGCAAACAGTTTTTTTAAACCCGTTCTCCAATCAGAACTTTTTGCGCATGATCAAAGAACTTTTCCGCTCCTCCAAAGCGCAAAAAGTTCTGAATGGAGAACGGGCTTTAGCCAAAGATACTTGCTTGGACTGCTATGTTCAAGGACGGCCTGTCAAAGCACCTGGTGACACCTTCGGGCCAAGTGATCAATCAAGATGTCTACATCCAGAAGTGCTTGATGAAGTGCTTGATTCCGTTCATTGAATCAGTTTATAAAAACGACAAGATCGTTTTCTGACCTGACCTCGCTACGTCTCATTATGCAAAGAAGACGTAGGAGTTCCTCCAAGGGAATAACATCGTATTCGTGCCTAAGGAGTGCAACCCTGCCAATGTGCTAGAACTCCGTCCAATTGAAGACTTTTGGTCAGAACTCAAACGAAGAGTATATGATCGTGGATGGAGAGCAAAAACCGTGGACAACTCACTGACAAGATCAGCTTACTGCATAAAATGGATCGTCAAGATCGCGTACATCGACTTGGCAAGGCTTCTTTCAGCCGAGTAGATAAAGTTCGCAGTCATGGCGTGATAAACTTTTTATTTTTTTAAATCTGAAGCTTCATATGCTTAACTTTAATTATCTTTTTACAGAAATAACTTTCAATCAACCTCTTTATTCAAAAGCTAGAGAAATCGTATCTGCAGCGCTTGATGGATCTGAACTATCGAAGATCGTAATAAGACTTGGAAGATTTTATTTAGTTATGTCATTTTTTTGGATCAATTGGTTATATTATGCAAGGTAGTGGCATACAAGAGGTGCTTTTGTTAATTTATGGACCTAAGTCATTAGAAAAAATGCTCAATGATTATGTTTACGCGAGAACTGTTAGAGTTTATACATTCTTCAGCTCACTTTTAGCAATAATAATATTAAAAGATCTTGTTATCTATGACGAGATAGCTGCAAGTCTTAATATTACCTTTGAAAATGTCATAAATAACATAATTTTATATAATGATATCAAAACAGGTGACGATAATAAATGCGAGGGATTACTTTATCAGTTCAATGAAAAATTAAAAGAATTTAAGAAATGAGGACCTACAGCAAAACTATGGATACAATATTTTAATATGGTGTCGATAGCAAAGGAGTTTATAAGAGCTGAACGCATGGGAGATTGGCAAGCTTATTTGAACAGCATTAAAGAAATACCTCCTTATTTCCACGCATCAGGACATTTTCTTTATGCTAAGTCTGCGCATTTGTATTTGCAGGATATGCTACAATTAGAGAAATCAATGAACTGTAATGTTTATCAGAAATTTATCGAAGGATTTTTCACCGTTAGACGTTGCGATAAACTCAGCTGTGGTACTTCAACGGATATGGTGATCTAGCAATCAATGATGAAACTAATGAAGACAAATGGAAGTATAGCTCGAGGAAGAAGGAAAAAAGACAGTATTATATGTAAGTGGGTTTATGGCATGCATGCAATGAATCATTGATTGCTAGATCACCATATCCGTTGAAGTACCACAGCTGAGTTTATCGCAACGTCTAACGGTGAAAAATCCTTCGATAAATTTCTGATAAACATTACAGTTCATTGATTTCTCTAATTGTTTGTGAAGGATTGGAAGATCTTATTGATATTAGAATGGATACAACAGATCAGCATGCAGATGCAAGTGATTCACGAATTAAGAAAGATTCTAGATCCAGTATTGTTATTTCAACGTATGAGTATTACTAAGACATTTAGGGAAGAAATTGAAAAAATTTAAAATAAAAATTTTTTATTTATGAATTAGTTCCTTACTCATTATCACTGTTTTATGACACTGGAATACGTAAAACACAAAAATCAGCTATTTACAATTGATTTGAATTAGTAAATATTAAAATTGGTAAAGGCAAATGCCAGTTACATCATCGATGGAGGATATTTATTACACCGCGTTGTGTGGCATCGAGAGGAAACGTTCAACCTTATTTTTGATAAATACATTCAGTATGTACATAGATATTTTGGTCATGAAGTCCTTATAGTATTTGATGGTTATACTAATCATAAAAAAAATATAAACAGCGTCGTTGAACCACAAAAACATCTTCATCTTATGATGTCATTTTTGATCAATTTATGACGGTTCCAACAAGCCAACAGTAATTCCTTGCCAATACTCACAACAAGTCTTGCTTCATTTTAATGTTATGCAAAAAGTTAACAGCTGCAAATATTATAGTGAAGCAAGCTGATAATCACGCTGATGTCCTAATAATTGAAACAGACAACTATTGTTGTCGGTGAAGATTTACTAGTGCTACTGACTGCAAGAACTTAATGGATAAGATTGTTTATTTTTTGAAACCCTCAACAACCAACAGAAATACATTCATCAAAAAGTTTATCTGCTTATCCAAAATGTCAAAATCATATCTTATTTTTACATGCAATTACTGGCTGCAATACTACATTTTTCAGAAGGGGTAAAACAACAGTATTTAAATTATTTGAAAAACATGATTTAACTAATTGTCAAAGTATTTCAAAGGATCGACTCGATCCCACAAACGGGATTCGTTTTTTTTTTGCTTTATATGAAGTTCCAAAAAAAAATTGTATAAACAAAACTTAAATATCTATTATTTAAGTTTTGTAAAAAATACACGGAACAATAAAAGAGTGCAATTATTTTGTCTTCCTCCAACATCTGCTTCTGCTAGTCAACACTTATATCGAGTAAACTATCAAGTTCAAGTATGGCTAGGCAATCAACTGGACCCAAAAAACTGGGGTTGGAATTTAGTAGGTAATACATTGAAGCCAATTCAAACTTAACTTCCACCTACTTCCACCTACTTCCCATTTTTTGCAATTGTAAAAGGTGTTGTAGTGCAAAATGTAGTTGCAAAAAAGTCGGTTTATTGTGTTCACCAGTATGTCAAGGCCAGTCTTGCTCCAATATTAAATCAATTTCAACAAATGAAGATTTTGATGATGATAATGATGAGACAGCTGATGTATCTTTTTCACATTTCCAACTAGAAAAAGGAGAAATAGAGGAGGAAGAAGATGAAAAAGAAATAAAAGAGGAAGAAGACGAAGAAGAAGAAAAAGAAAAAAGCAAAGAAGATATAGCATACTAATATATAGTAATAATACTAATATATAGTATATACAACGTTTTATATATTATGTTGAAGATTATGTTGAATAAGACTTCTTCAGTTTTAAGATTTGCAATATATCAGGAATAGTGATTCTTAGAAAAAAAAGTATAAAGACAATTTGTGTAGATAATTTATGATCTAAAACTTTTGTATATCTTTTAGATCATAAATTATCTACAAAAATTGTAGATAATTTATGATCTAAAAGATATACAAAAAACTTTTGCTTGATCTATTTTTTTTTGCGATAAATTTTACCGTTTACCGGAAAAATATGATAAACCATTTTTTTCTACCTTTGACCTTGAACAACTCAAAGGGTTTTTTTTGTAAATGCAGGATCGGTGGGGACTTTTGATATTTTATTTGTAATAATTTCCGCAAAGTCTGTACCAAATTTCAGCTCATGCGAATTATTGTAAACTGTAATGTTTATTTTGACCGGACTATTTATGGAAGGATGGCGGACCTGTAGAAAGTACATGAATTAAAACAATTGTGATTGCGCAAACATTTATAAATATAAAAAAAATTCTAGTCTACATTTTCATTCTAATATATATTAAAAAACGAATTAAATATATTAAATAATTAAAAAAATAAAAATTTTAGGAGAAACATAATTCTATAACGAATGAGAATAAAATTAAAAAAGGCGTTTTTGTTTGTGTGTTTTAAAAAATTAATAAATTACTTCTTAAAATCCCTATAAAATATATCGTATAAATAAAGCTAACTTAAATATCTTGCTATTTTTATGGCGTTTGGCGTTAAGATTCGTTGTCCTCGTGTAACTGTTCAAAGTGATTGCTCAAAGAACCATGACTTTCATCAACATTGTAACGTTTTTTAATGCTTGTCAAAGCTTTGATAAGTTTTGAATTTGTTTCTTCTAAAGTATTTATACGACGTTCTTGAAAATCTATATATCTATCTTTTGATTTTATTATATCTTCCATTTCTGTTTGATCGTTACGAAGCTTGTTTTCCATTACCATTAGACGATTAATAACTGTTTTCATTTCATTATCAGTCTCCTGTCTTTGTATTTTCATCTTTTCGTTTGTATTAATTAGTTTTTCCCTTAAGTGAAGAACAGTTTGTTCAAAATTTTTAGATTTATTTTTTAGTTCGATTTGAAGTTTTTGAATAAGCGAATCTTTCTCTTTTAATTTGTGTTGCAATAACTCGGTTTGGTCCTTAAATAAAACAACATTTTATCTTGATACGTCGCAAAAATGCATAGCACAAAATCGTAGTATAAATTCAAATCTTTTCTTACCGTTACGCTTTGATTATAACGTTCGACTTGACCGGGACTAGCCTTTCGTGGTAACGACATACCTACTGCTGACACTCGTCTGTCAGCTCCGGGTCCTTTTCCTGAACTACGGACGAAGTTTTTAAATAAATCATAATGGAAATGGAAACAATTTTATAAAGTTAAAATATATGTATTTGATATAAAATGTTTTTGTGAGAAGGTGACATGCGCAAAAATATTTATGAGACGCCTGTAAATACACATTTAAAAGTATGCAAACATCATGCTTCAAATACTTTCCTTAATACAACATAATAAACAACTAAAGAGTAAAGTTTGCAACATGTAAACAAACAATAACTGAGAAAAGGTTTAGAAACAAGGATAATGATTGTTTTGATTGAATGCTATGGCGTACTTATAAAGTGTTTTTATATTAGAACACTAGAGTCTAAGACGTAAAAATAAAATAAAAGAGATTCTATTTCAAACAATAGGCCTTATTTCTGATCAAATAATAATGGATATTAATATTATAATACCTTTCAGCTTCATTCTCTAGTAAAGTATCTTCTAAATTATCTCCTTCTACAAGAATACCTTCAGGAGACGATGATGTTTCCACCGATGAACAACTACAGCTCGAGTAACTAGATGAATAAATAGAAGTTAGTGAACAAGATTTTTCTATTATTCCTTCGTGCAAAATTTCACAAAACCCGTTTGAGTGTATTTGAGCGATTTCACGACTCTGCGCTACAATCATGGTATCTCGATTAAAATTATTGCGATCTATTTCCCTTTTTACTTCGTTAGGCGCCATTTGCGAGTACCTGCGTAAAACCTTTTCTCTTTGTTCTTCTTTAGAAAAGTTTAATGTATCACTACTGTAAAATATATCGTTTTGGGGTTCATATCTATTAAGGTCAGTCTGTTTATTATGTTTTCTACTAATATTGAGCGGCTCAGATGGAGGTTGAGTTGTCGGTAAGTAACGCTTGTTTACGCTATTTTCCGAAGTTAAATGACCACCAGAAACAACTGTTTCGACGCTACCTCGTCCACTCTCACTAATTGAAGAAAGTCGTGATCCACCAGAAAAATTAGAAACCCGAGACCCACGACTGATACTTAATCTGGAGTCACTATTACTTGATCGCATCGAATCAATAGAACTCGTTGGAGATTTTTCAAGGTTTGGATCCACTGAGGATTTAGTATCACTAAATTTGTGTTCGCTTTTTAAATTTTGTAGAACAAGTTTACTACGGTCAAACGGTTCTTTTTGTTCAACTTTTTTTCGAGTTGCTAATGGAGACTTACTAAATGTAAATGAGGAAGTTTTTAAAGATTTCTGATCATTTGTTTTGAACTCGCTTGAACACGCCACATGGTTTTTAGAGCTTAGATTTCCTCCTTTAAGTTTATTGTTGAATCCATCGTTATTAGGGCTTTCATGAGAATCTTTTTCTTTTTTTGGTATTCGCGATATCTCCCCAAACTTTCTGGCGTCTTGAGAAAATAAATTTATACGGTCTTTAACACTTCCTTCCTTTTTTTTGGTTTTTAAATAAGAATCATTAACAAGTTTTGGGTTTTTATACGAATTTCTCTCATTTCTTTTATGATTTTGCGAATCATCCTCTATTTTGTCAAACATTCGTTTTGATTCAGAAATATGAGAAACAACTTTTTTACCTATAGAAGCAAATTTCTCATTACTTTCGCAATTAATTTCTGCTGAAGGGTTTGACCAATCATTGTTTCTATCATTCTTTAGCGATTCACTATTTGGTAAATAACTGTGACTAACAAATGAAGAATCCGACACATAATCTTCTGTAAAACTAAAATTTGTATCTTCGTCGTAGCAAAGTTTGTCATTTATATTAGATTTTCTCTCCATGTTAGCTAACAGCGGCGAATTATCGCTACACAAATTTTCGTTGCTTTCAATAACATTGTAATTTGATCTGTTATGATAGTCGTGTGACGTAAATCCATGTAAACCCGGAGCGCTTAAAGGTTGACCGCAAACTGAAGCAACTGTTTCAAATGGACGATGTAGTCGTAACTCTTCGGCATTCGGAAAAGATTTATGAGCTTTCGTAATATCTTCGAGTATTGTTTTTAATTCGTTATACTTATCATTATTATCTTCGTTAGTTTTTGAAATTTCGGCAACAAGAAGGTGGTAGGTAACAGATAATTCGCGCGCTAAATCAATTTGACCACAAAATGTATATGTATCGTTACTATCATCAGATTTTGGTTCATTAGATATATTCTGCAAGAATAAATCCATATTAGAAATTTCTGACTCAACGAAGTCATTCAAAATTTTCATGTAACATTCTTTGCTACCAAACCGCGTAAAATTAGCAAGATTTTGAATAGTTTTTGCTATTAAGGTTAGTGTTCGAGCTACTTTTTCACTCGGGTACTCACTTGTGAGCTGAAATAAGCTAGGCGACAATATAGCTGGACATAGAAAACGCAGAAAAAGTGATGCACTCACAATCTTTTTACTAATATTTAATTCCATGCTTTGACAGCGCTCACGCACAGTTGAAAATACTTTCTGTAGACTGATTGGAAAGAAATTTACGGAAAGCATTATATTTTTCCAAACATCTTCTACAAGTTTAATCAAATTTCGTTGATTACCGCTCAGTACTGCACTACTTAAAGGCGTAATTTTTTGTGGATCAACTTCAGCATCTTCTTCGGATTCGTAAACAGACGAAATAAACGTACCCAGAGTTTCTTGTAAATACATTCTTCCAACCATTTTCATGTAGGTATCAATAGATTTAGTAGCTAACGAGTTTCCACGAAACATAAGATTTTCATTAGGTGTGTTCTTTACCTCATTCATGATAACATCCACTAAAAAACCGTGCGCCTCGCCTGATGCATGAAGAATTTTAAGTAACGTTTGAGCCAGAATGTCTTTGGTTTTTAAACTAATAACTTTTTCTAAAGTGTTTGTCAAAACCATGTAATCAGTTCTTAAGAAATCGTGCAGTTTTTTATAATAAGATATAGGCAAAACTACAGTGGCTCCGTACGTAAATTTAATTCGAATAAAAGGTTGTTCTACTTTGCTGTTTACTGAATTTCTTTGCTGGGTTTTAGGAGAAATGCCCGGCATAAAAACAGAAACCCATTTTTCAATTTCAATGTTCGTTTCTACGTTAAGAAGATCGATTACAGAAGAGCCTATAAATACACTCTTATCTGGTTTACGTTTCTTTTTTGTGTCACTCTCTCGGAATAAGTTTATAGTTACTGATTCAGTTGGGGGCAGATCACTAAAACTAAACTGCTCACCCCAAAACAACATTTCATTCATACATTTTACGGAAGTTCTACAAAATAAAACTTTGTTTAACAACAACTCGCAATAATAACGTTTACGAATTGGAATTCCTTTTGCTTCTATTACCCAGACTGATAATGATGTATCAAGACGAACGTTTTCATCGCGATTAATTTGAATTACTGAAGTCATGCTAAAGATACGAAGTTAAGTTTAAGTAAGTTGAGTAAACGTAAAACCAAACAAAAATACCCAAATAAAAAAAAGTATTTCTATGTATGAAAACTATGTTTATAAAGTAAACGGTTTTGAATTATATATGTTAGAAAATATAAATTTTGTAATATATATTACAAAAAATGAGGTTGAATAATTCTGTATCTAAAAAACCTGAACTATTTATTACGTAGAGGTGAGTTGTACCAAAAGAACCCTGTACTAAATGGGCCTTTTTAAAAATAAGACCATAGCAATCAATTAAATGTATTTTAGTCGATGCAATCAACTCATTTTTACACAATATTTCTTTAGTATGCCTGAGTTAACTTTATTCGAAGTAAAACATTAGTTAAAGAAATTTTCTGTTTTTGTAAGACAAGTTTAATTTTTTAATTTTTCTGAGTTTTCAATTAAAAAATATTTTTTAAGAAAATAATTCCATTAAGATTATTATTAATAATATAGAGATATATTATGCTATTCGAATAATAATAAAATGAATATTATCTGACAAATTGTTTTAATTATATAGGTAACAAAAGCTTTTTGATTTTGATATGACACACCAAATGTACTGAACGGGCTGGTCCATTTTCTGACAAAATCATTTATTGCATTTCACTTTGTTTCTTTAAAAATAAATATAAAGTTCTTGTTATTAAAATAATAAATATAAAGTACTGGAGTTTATTATGTAAATGAGCTGTGAAAGTGTGAATAATAAAGTATTACTAAAAAAAAGCTATAAACTTTTAAGACGGCAGATTTTGTGCTAAAAGCTAAGAAATAAAATAATTATCTTAATTTTAATATATTATTCAATATTTAATACAATTATTTTATCTTTGATGCTGTGCATAATTTATATTCATTATAATTTTTAATTTAGTTTATTTATATAGTTTATTATTATTAATCTAATTCATTGTTTTAAAATGGTCTTAATATACTTAAAAACCATTCAAAATACAACTGCTTTAAAACAGCTAGACTATTTAGAAAACATTCCTATTTTAAGTCCGTTTTTTATAAAATAAAACTATTTTATGTCTTAATTCTAAACAAAAATATTTGTCATTAAACTTTACAAAACGAAACTTTTTCAAAGGCATTCAAAACCCTTAAAGCTATCTATTGGTGTACATGCAAGAAAGCTAAAACCTGACCAACTCGTACCATCATTTGTATAGTGAACTTTATTGTCCACCATAAAAATGTGTGCACATCTTTAATCTAGAACAACAAATTTGGGTGAATTTTTAGAACTGAGACAACTTCATAGCATATCGCTTGGGATACCATGTACTATCTATAAATGAATCAAGTTCTTTTTAATTTGAATCATGTCAAAGTAGCCAAAAATAATAAATATAAAAAACCATTACTAACTACATTACCAACTGTTTCAATAATCTTTAACAAACATTGGCGATCTTAGAAGTAACTTTCCATTAGTTGAATTTTACCTCTTGCAAAACTCACCAGATAAGCTTACTTTAAGACCAATTTAAATTTGGCTATTCTTTTCTCAGATCTTAGAACTAATGACTATTATCTCTTAATTTGCCCCAAAAGTCACATGCTAGACTTGGGCATATACTTACACATCGATTCACCTATTTATCAAGAAATCAGGTTTGAATCGTCTGACCATTCTTATGTGCTCCCCCCCTAGCACCACTTCACTATATCGCCTTTCTCTTTGTTCTTTATCACTCTCCTTCCTTTCAAGACTGCAATCTTTTAGATGATAAAATTGACGAAGCCCTTTCTCTTTACCCTTTGTCAATATTGTTGCTATTTAATGACTTTAATGCTCATCACACTAAATGGCTTGGTTCTAACACCACTTATTTGACCCTACTGGCACCAAAGCCCACAACTTCTTTATTCTTCATCTCTAACTCATATAACTAATTTGTAAATCATTTTCATGACAACCCTAATCAGTCACTTTTACTCCTTGATTGGTTATAATCATGCAATGATCTCTTTAAATCTTTCATCTCATACTTCTTCTTCAAACTCACCTGATCATCACACCACTTACTACTATTCTAAAGCTGACAGGGATTCTTTTGGTGATTTTCTTCATGAGTGTCCTTGGATTGATATCTTTTCTCTCTCTGTACTTCTTATGTAAATGCGCTTCCAGCGTAACCTCTTGGATCCAGGGAGGTATGAAAGATTTTATTCCTTCTCGTCAGTTTCAAGTCAAACCTTCTCTACTTTGTAATTTTCACCTTGTGCAACTGCAAAATCTAATTGTAATCATTTTTGATTACAATTAGATATAGCAAACAATTTTTTAGCTTTACAAAAGTGTTCTCTAAAACTCTCTTCAATTCCCTCTAAAATATTTAATAAGTTTTTGACTAAGTTTTCTTGCCGGCTGGAAAATTGCATCAATTTTTAAAAGGATTGGAGTTAAATTTAGCAAGATCTTTGAGTCTTTATTCAACAAATTTTCAAAATCCATTCTTGAGTCTAATAATATTTTGACAATCAATATGTTTTATGGCTGACTTGCTAACTGCAGCATTGAAAAATTTTATCATGCATTAGATGAAGGTGACGAGTTTTCTTCTGTCCATCTTTCCTTTTTCTTTATTTTCTAGTAATGCCATGACTGCTTTATATAACATAATATTTACATATTTATGTGTGAATATATAACTACAAAAACGTATAATTTGTATATATACTTGTATGTGTGTGCATATATATATATATATACATATATATATATATACATACATATATATATATATATATATATATATATATATATATACATATATATATATATATATATATATATATACATATATATATATATATATATACATATATATATACATATATACATATATATATATATACATATATATGTATATATTTATATATATATATATATATATATATATATATATATATATATATATATATATATATATATATATATATATATATATATATATATATACATATATATATATATATATATATACATATATATATATATATATATATATACATATATATATATATATACATATATATATATATATATATACATATATATATATATATATATATATATATATATATATATATATATATATATACATATATATATATATATATACATATATATATATATATATATATATATATATATATATATATATATATATATATATATATATATATATATATATATATATATATATATATATATATATATATATATATATATATGTATATATATATATACATATATATATATATATATATATATATATATATATATATATATATATATATATATATATATATATATATATATATATATATATATATATATATATATATATATATATATATATATATATATATATATATATATGTATATATATATATATATATATATATATATACTCTTGCATGTCTCTTGCGTGGCATCAAAAAATGTTTCCCATAAACTGTAGTTTTAAAGAGCGCGTTAATAAACCAGACCAGAAAAAGTTTTAAAAATTAAATTTTTTTTTTTAATTGATAGACTGCCTGGCCAAACCAAACCCTCAGTCGATGTAGCAGCACTCTCTTGCGAGTCAGGCTATTTGTCAGTCATTGTAACAGCACTCCCTTGCGAGTCAGGCTATTTGTCAGTCAATGTAGCAGCATTCCCTTGCGAGTCAGGCTATTTGTCAGTCGATGTAGCAGCACTCTGTTGCGAGTCAGGCTATTTGTCAGTCGATGTAACAGCACTCCGTCGCGAGTCAGGCTATTTGTCAGTCGATGTAGCAGCACTCTGTTGCGAGTAAGGCTATAAGATAGTCGATGTAGCAACATTTACGCATGTTTTAAAAATGTTTTTTATTAAATCAATAACAAAAACACCACTAATTAAAAAAAACTTTCTAGTCGTTATAATTGCGGTTTTTTAAAAATTTTTTAAAAAACAATTAAATTTAATGTACTTCCGCATAAATTAATTGCTTTGACATTTCGATGACAATCAAAAACAGCTTAAGAGACGAGGTAATTAAAATTGTAGTCGTAAGAGACTTTTTTTACATTAAAATGCTCTTAAAGCTACACTATATGGGTATATATATATATATATGTATATATAAATATATATGTATATATATATATATATATATATATATATATATATATATATATATATATATATATATATATATATATATATATATACATATATATATATATATACATATATATATATATATATATATATATATATATATATACATATATATATATATATATATATATATATATATATATATATATATATATATATATGTATATATATATATATATATATATATATATATATACATATATATATATATAGTCTTGCATGGTAGTCACAAAGTTTTTCCCATAAACTGTTGTTTTAAAGAGAGCGTTAATAAGCCTGACCAGAAAATGTTAAAAAACTTCAAAAAAAAAATTTTTTCTTTAAATGATAGACTGCCTGCATTAACACCACTAATTAAAAAAAACTTTCTAGCCATTATTATTGCGGTTTTTTTAAAAAACAATAAAATTTAATGTACTTCCGCATTAATTTAATTGCTTTGACATTTTGACGACAATAAAATGCAGCTTAAAAGACAAGGTAAAAAATTGTAGTCGAAAGAGACTTTTTTTACCATAAAAGTCTCTTTCGACTACACTATAAGGATATATATATATATATATATATATATATATATATATATATATATATATATATATTTAAAAATACATTGTGATTGTATTTCTTAATTAAAACTTAATGTCTCTGTCTTCAAAGTTTTAAAGGAATATTTTAATTTTTAATGTGGATATGTTAGGGCACACAACAGGAAGTCAGGTATATAACTAATATAATAATATAGTGCCCCCTTTATCTAATAGTACTAATATAACAGAGCAGTATAATGCCCACTACAATTTGGAGAAGTAAATATAAACAAAAATTTAATTCTATACCATAAAACATCTATACAACAGCCTTGCTTACATATTTTGGTATTGTTTTTGAATTTAAATTTATATTAAAACTTCAATAAAATTGCATCAAGATATATGTCAGTTAATAAATTTGCTTACCAAAAAAAATAAATAATTGCAGCAGTTTGGAAATCTGTTATCTCATTAATTTAACATTATAAATAACCCTTCAGCCATGCAAGTTTATAGGAATTAAAGCAAACCAATTATTTAAAAAATGCAGTAATAATGTTAAATAACCAATTACATGAACATCAAATTTAATAAAAACCTAATGTGGGTCTGTTCATAACATATTAAACAATAACAAGCCTTCATACTATATAGGCAATTTAGTTAAAATAGACTGAAACATCTAAATTGATGCAAAAGGCATTTAAAATTTTACAACAAATTGAATTTTTACCTAGTAACCTAGCTGAAAATAGATTTGAGTTTAAAGGAAAAAATATATATATTACATAAATTATGTAAGTGTATTCTACTAATAGAGTGCTCGATGTTCTTAAAGAACAGAGCAATAATAAATTAGTAAAAACACTTATTTAATTTTTTTCTTCACAAATGAACAAGAAAAAAAAAAATAGATAAGTGTTTTTATAACTTATATATATTATATATATATATATATATATATATATATATATATATATATATATATATATATATATATATATATATATATATATATACATATATATATATATATATATATATATTATATATATATATATATATATATATATATATATATATATATATATATATATATATATATATATATATATATATATATATATATATATATATATATATATATATATATATATATATATATTCATAACTTTTTTTTTTTTTTCTTCCTGTTCATTTGTGAAGAAAAAAATATACATATTTGTTTTTATGTGCCGCTTTAATTATTATTTAATTAAAATAATAATTTGTGCATGAAAGTATAAATAAAGTGCACTTTATTTATACTTTTTAGTTTATTTTTGATTAGTAACTTTTTAAAGTTATTATTTTACATAACTATTTGTTATTATTAATCATGCATTATTTTATAAGTTATGTAATGTTTTTTATTTAAGTTGGCATAAAAAATAAAACTACTCTACTTATATACCAATATAATTAGCAAGGCATTTATATAAAACTATTATATAGTGATAATAGTGGTAAGCATTTTGAAAATAAGCTCTTCATATATACCAATATAATTAGCAAAGCATTTATATAAAACTATTATATAGTGATAATAGTGGTAAGATTTTTTAAACAGTCAATATATGCTCATTAAAATAATGAAGCCCACACCTCAACCTCACACCACAATAGTTTTTATAGTAGTACATTAAATAGTTGACATAAAACAATATTTTAACAATTTTTTTACCTTTTTATCCAACTGCTGCATTCTTCATGACTTGAACATGAAAAATATTTAGTATCAGTTGGTGTGATCACTTGAAAACAAAATGGACGAAGTAGAACGCTATCATGTATAGGTCGCACTATTGACAATGCTGGGTCATTTAAACACATTACAGTTACTTGCCTCTAAAAAGTTAAAAAACTACAAATAAAGTTACAAAATTAAAAGAAACCTGCTTAAACATATTGTATAATCCATCTTTTTACGATACATTAAGTTAGCCTTATTATCCATTTAAGCTATATTTAACATATAGAACTTAACATTTTTTATCAGCTTTTACAAAAATAATGTTTTAATCCTGCATACATGTTAATAATAAATTTTAAATTAGAAACAATTCTTGACTTAAACTTTCATTTGATTTGCTTTAGTTTCAGACAGCCTGATTTTAAATTCCTTTAAAATCTTTACACACAAAACTTTTACTGGATCGAATTTGACAAGTTGTTTAGCATTCATATACAGCAAAATTTTGTATTATTTCATAATTTACAACATCTTATATTTTTGATATTGAATTTCACTATTTGATAATGTCCAAAATTAAGCATTGACTATATCTTTTCAGATTCTGCACACACCTCCACCAGAAACAGAAATCTGATAAAATTTTGTCTTTAACAGTTTATTTATTTTCTGTGTAAAACTGATTTGAATACTTTAAAACTATGTTAAATGTTTTTGCAAAATTTAGTAGCGTACATATACTTGTATCCCTTTATAAAAACTGCAAAAAAAGTAAAGAGTTTTGAGAAAATTTGTTGTACATGATTTTCTTTTAACAAAACCATGCTGCTATCTTTTTAACATTAATTAAACACATTTTCAGCCATTTTATTATTGACCTGAAAAGATAAAATGCTTGAAAATAGATGTGAAAATAGGTTTCATTGGTCAGCAAAATTTATGTCTAATAGCTAGGATAGCCAGTTAATAATGAATTTCAGCATTTCTCCAAAACTTAATTTTTTTATTGAATAATTAATGTATATAATCATCTTTTCTTTTTCTAAAATTGTACTAATAGCACAATTTTAGTTCTAACTTAACAGCATCAGATTTGATTCATTATTTAACATTTTCTGTTACTTCACAATTTTTTTTAATTGTATTACATTAAACATTTTTTTAAAAACTGCATTGATTGTAGTTAGCCTACAATTGATGTAATACAGCATTTGTATGCAACTCAATATTTTCATTTTTAAAAAAATAAATTTATTCTTATTATTATAAATGATGAATAGGTTAATTTATTCTGGTTGTGTTAAAGTTGTTCATTCATATTAGCAACACACAAGGAGATTATCTTGATGTGTTCCAAGGATTTTAAAATACCACAAATGACTTATTGTAAAAATCTAATAGGTTAAATTCATTTTGTCTATTTGTCTAAATTTATTCTTGTCTTTAATAAAAAAAAGGTGAGCAGGGGGCGGAGATGTTTATTTAATTTTCCCACTCACCCCAAGCTTATTAAGACCCCCCCCTCCCCCTGTTTATTAACTTTTACTTGTTGTCAGCAAAAACTTTATATCTTAAAACTAAAAAAAAAAAATCAAAATTTTTTTAGTCACTGATAAAAACAAAAACTTTCAGTGTAAACAGGCTTTAAAAATCATCAACCTAGTAAATATTGATTTGTCAAAAATGTTTTTTTTTTATTCTTAACAAAGTATAAAACTTATATCAACTTATTAAATCCTATTGAAATTATGATAAAACAGCAGTTAGAAATGATGCATTAGAGCGCAAACCACGCTAGAATTAAATAGTTTTATGCATCTTTTGTAAAAAATTTGTTATGTTACAGTATAAGTAATTTTTTTTTAAATTTCAGTTTATCAATCGAAACTCTTTTACAAAAATTTGGCTGCTTGTCTTATAAATAATTTTTTTATTAAGCAGCTAAATTTTTGTAAAAAAGTTTCGTTTAACAAACTGAAATGAAAAAAAAAAAAAAAAACAGAAAAAAATTCCCCCTCCCCTCCCTTTTATTAAGGACTCGAGAGTAATTGATTTATGATTTTTTTGTTGCATTACAATTTTTTTTTTAATTATTGTAAATCATTATACTGGTATCTTGAGAATTGATGTCTTATTACTATTCTTTGAAAATATATCTACTGTATTATGTGTCTTTGATTCATGCTTTTAACCAGTTGTTTTGTTCTTTTTTAGAATATGAAGTACAAAATTTTACCCAAAGGAATACTTTTTCTTATTTAGCCATTTTAGCTGTTAGAAAATTATAGTTTTTTGTCTTAGGCATTATATTAGTTATATTTATACATTTTCTAAATAAAGAAAAAACTAAACTAAATACTTTGCATGTTGCGAAAAAACATAATTATCAAAAAAATCTATGTAATGATCAAATATATAACTCATTTAAGAACAAAATAGAATAACACAATATTGACGAAATCAGAAAATACAATTTCAGAAAAAAGTGTTGCTTTTTTAAAACATGTTATACAAGTATATATATTCAACATTTTTGCTTACATGTTAATATTTAAAAATCACTCACATCATCATCAATGTAATAGTCAGATTCTGCTGACCTCCATGAGGATAATAATACACTAGGAGATTTAGGACTATTAAACAAAAAAATCACATAAAACTTTATTTTAAAAGAATTTAATAAAAAAAAATTCTTAAACTTCAGTAAATTTTTTTAAATTAAAAAAAGCATTAAAAAAAAAAAAATTAATAAAAAACCAAAAACAAAAAAATCATATAAAAAAAAACAAAAAACATTTACCTAGAAGATTCATTAGTTCTTTGTATTCCAACTTTTCCTACACTTCTTGATCGACTTAGAGCAAGCTTTCTTGAGATCTAAAAAAAAATTGATCTAACCTTTGACTTTGACTCAATAAAAAAATCAAAAACAAAACCTTAAATAAACTTTGAATTCTATAAATAATAATGATTACAACCATAATGATGACAATAATGAGGAGGAAAATCATATTAATGTATAGATAATTTACATTGGTATTATTCCAAATACACATAATATATTCTTACAAATTGTTTGAAGCTACTATTGCTGGGTTGTGATTCTAGTCTTGGACGAAATGTTGAACTAGATCTTGGGGAATAGTTTTCTAAATAAACAAAAAAAAATAACAGCAAACAAGCAAAAATTATTTATTTTTTAAAATAGGGCAGTATTGGAAAATCTTGAATTAAAAATGTATTCATAATTTATAATCTTTCATTTAAAAAACCCTACCAGATCGAGGAGATAATACATCACTTCCACCAGGGCTCTTTAATGGACTATCAAGTGAAATCTCCTAAAACCATAACTTATAGTATAACAAAATATATAAATGAATACTTTTTAAACACTCTAAAGTTAAGACTGTTTATTATATATATATATATATATATATATATATATATATATATATATATATATATATATATATATTATATATATATATATATATATATATATATATATTTAAATATTTGTTAAATATTCTACTGTGTAAATTAAAAATCGATCAAGTACCTCACACACGACTGTTTAAAAAAATTAAAAGCATACAGACTAGTAAACAAGATACTCTGGATAATAAAATTACTTGAAATTTCAAAAATAGCATGTCATACTAGGAGATGCCATATCAGACTGGCTTCACATGCTTGGTGGGGTTCCTCAGAGCTCAGTTCTCAGGCCATTACTGTTTGTAATTTTCATAAACAACTTGGCTTCACAAATCAAAAATAATCCAAAACTTTTTGCAGATGACACAAAAATGATTGGAATCATCAAAGACAAAAATGATTCAATCAGTTCGCAAAACTATACCAACTTTATATCAAAATGGTGCCTAATATCTTTAAATGAGAGCAAATATAAAGTAATTTACATTGGTAAATTAAGTAAAAAGTTTAACTATCAGGTAAACGGGCATCAATTAAAGTAGAAATTGAAAAAGACTTGGACTTGATCATTATATAACAATTCAAAATTAAAAATGGACTAAATAAAATAATCTTAAAATAAAGTTCCACCCAAATTAATAAAACAAAGTTCCACCCAAGAAAAACACAAACATAGCACAAGAAAAGAAACTTTCTAATCAGAGAACAAAACAAGTCTGATGTCCGGTACAACTTTTTTTAAACAAGATAGTCAAAAAAATGGAATTAACTTGCCAGTAAACAAAAATAATAAACATTTATAAAAACAAATTTACAAAAACCAAAAATATAAAACTACTATAAATGGTCTTTATAAAGTTATTTATTGACCAATTATTAAAAAAAAAACATGACATTTAACAGTGTAAAAACTGCTTTCCAACAAATATTTCTTATGACTTTTCATTGTAGTTTGATATTAATAGTAATAATAAAAAAAACTGAGCAAATTTATCAGGTAAAAAATTAAGGTAAAAAATTTTAATATAAAACAAAATATGTATAGAACATTTATATATATGTGTGTGAGCTTTTTTGAGTTTTAGTTATAGATTGTAAAAACAATTTTTTTTAACAAGCACCCTCCAAACATTTCTATATAAACAATTGTTTTGATAAACACACCTGCTCTTCTGCACTTGAAATAGAAGAAATATACAAATATTTTGTGCTTGGTTCAAAACATACAGCTTTAAGCTTCCAAATAATATTTTCTGGATATAATTTACGAATGTTTTCTAAAAAACAAATAGAAAATAATTCATAAATAAATTGTTATACAAAAAAATCAACAAAAAAATCTAAGATTATTATTGACATAAAAATAAGTTTTATACAGTTGTTTATTTAATTACAATTTACTTAATCACTTAGTTACAATGTAAATCACTTAGTTACAAAATAATATTTTGATTAACTACTTTTCAAAGTCTTCAAATTTTATTACCTTAAATAAAAAAATATTTAAACCATTAAAAGTAGATATCTTAATAAAAGAATAACTTTATCATTAAAGTAAAATATATATTATAATCTAAACAATCAAAGGTAAACATAATTTTTAAATTTTAAATTGTTTGGTAGGTATTTTTAAAATCGTGTTCAGGTAGATTAAAAAAAAAACATACATAAAGGACAAGTAGTATATTACAAAAAGAATATATCCTGAAATAAAATACAATTTACTTTTTAATTGCAATAACAAATACTTGGAAAACTTTGTATAAGTTTATCTTAAAGCAACATTCTTTTTTTTTTTTTTTGAACATCTCAAAGCAATTTGTTCATTCTTAAAGTTATTTGACTCAGGCAGTTTTTAGAATGCTTTCACATTTACAATCTTAATAAATCGGAAAATAAAAACTTAAATTATGTTATATTTTATAAAATCATAAAGTTTATTAATTGCCATTAAATCGCTGAAATATTATAACTATGATACAACCATAAACCTTTGGTTGACTGAAAAAAAATTTAAAACCAGCTTCCTTAAAATTATAACAACTAACTAAAAAAAACAACATTATTTGTAAGAACATTTTTTTTATAGTTATAAATCAATTTACAAAAAAGAGCCTAAAACTCTCCAACTTTAAATACTTAATAACTTGAATGTTTAGGATGTTAGTGTGTTAATTTAAAAATAAAAATTTTTAATAATATTAAAACGTAAAAAAAAAAAAACCATTAGCATCAACAACAGAAAGCCATCCAGATAACTTTTTGTCGAGTGGGAAAACCTCCATATTGTAACAGATTATGTCCTATCCATTCTAAAGCAACATGTTAACTGATGATCATTTTATGTCATCATTAATATGAATTTTTATATCTTCTTTTCCAATTATCATTTTTTTCTTGTTCTAAATTATTTAATAAAATTTTTTTTTAACATAAGCAACAAAACATATTTATAATTTGTGTTTATATTCAAAAAAATATATATGTAAGAATTATTATTTTATTGTATTGTGTTTAAAATTATTAGTTAAGTTTAATACAAATGAATTAAATTAACTCTATGCAAATGAATGAATTAAATTAATTCTATGCTGTAAAACTTACATACATCCAATAATATACAGATTAAATTTGCGTAATCTACTATATTACCAAAGTCATAAAGATTTTTTTATTTGTTTATTTATTAAAACCTTTGAAAGTTTTTAAATGGCATTTTATTGAACTTATGAAATTATATAATAAAACTTATCGAAGACTTTAAAAAGAACTCATAAAATATTTATTTTATAAATTAAAAATTGATAGTTTATTAGAAAAAGATTAAAAACCCACAAAATTCAAACAACTTATTTAAATAGAAATCAGAAAACAACAAACATACCAAAACAATGGAGAAATAGAATGGAAAAACTTTAAAAAAAAATACATTTAACTTAAAAGATGAAATTATTATTATCATTTATTTGTATGATATTTTTATTTACTTTGCATTTCTATATCAATACATTGTGCAGTTGTGTGCCAAAAAATTGTTGCTTATTGTTAGTATCATTACAATTATATTTATAATATATTAACATTTTTATATACATACATATTTATTAGTAAATACATAACAATAAATGTGTGTGAGAGAGAGAGAGAGCGCGCGCGCGAGAGAGAGAGAGAGAGAGAAAGAGAGAGAGAGTGAGCATACAAGTTCTTTTTATTTTCGTTATCTTTAATCGTCGTAATATTATTTAATTGCTTATTTTACCTGATTTCAAACATTTTTTCGTTTTTTATATTATAGATGTTTTTATTGTACTTTTTTGTATTTTACCGTTAAATCAAATACTAAAAAAAGTTTTAAATATAGACTATAGAAGCCTATGCTAAATTATAAAAATGATCTAGTTTTTTATATTTGCAATAATATTTGTACGAAATTTTAACAAATTATTGACTAGTCAATAATTTAGTTTTTTTGTTTTTAGAATCCGTCATAGTCGACTATAACGAATTCTGAATAGTCTGTAATAGAAATGACAAGGAAAATAACAACATCTTTAAGTGCCAAAAACATATATTTAAATCTTTAACTATTCAGAATTTTTCAAAATGCATTTCTATTAATGTAAATTTCTATAAATACTATTTATATAAAACATACATTATGCATAAATAACTTTTAAATACTAAAAAACTTTTATGACAAATTTTTAAAATCTGCTTGAAATAGCGTACAAAAAATAGTTTTTAGGTTTTTATTTTTCGAGAGAAGGATTTTTTATGTATGCACAAAAGTAGTCACAATTTTTCAAAAAGCATAATTATTTTAATCGGCGTAGACATCTCTTTGTGGTGTTTAAGACACCGTAGTTATTCACAACTAATTAATAATTAATTGTAAATCTTCATGCTAGGCAAATGAGATTGAAAATAAAAACACACTCTGTTCACAAAAATGTGAAGTAAGGGACAGTATATTGAAAATCATTGACATAGACAATATTTATCGAAATTTTTGAAATTTCAATAACGAAAATCTTGTATTGTTTGACAATATAAAGTTTAACCCTCCCCTTCCCCCCACACACATGCACAATTTAAGGAAGGGGGGATAAACTATTGCACCAACTACCCTAATTAAAATAATCAGTGCGGACCGTAATTTGTCAGTTTTAAAACTTATTTTTCGCAAAACATTCTTAGTAGATATCGGTAAAATAAATTTTAAAAGATATCTTTTAAGAGTTTAATACATATAATTAAAAAAAAAACTTATACTATGGATGTAATCTTTCTAAAAAAATAAACAAAAATAAAGAGTTATAAAGAGACATCCTTAGTAGAAGTTTTTTTTATTATTATTATATAACGGTAACATAGTTTTGAAGTTGACGTACCAATATCCAAAATAATATAAAACCCTAGGTATTAAAATCAATACAAAACGTTAACATTTAATACTAACAAGAAATACCGAAATTTTTATTTAAAATAATTATTTGTAAAAAACAAAACTATTTTACAGACTGCATTTAAACATCTGTTGTCGACATGCTTTAACGTGTGTCATAATAAAAATACCGTTAAATAATTTAATAAGCTCGGCAAAGAAACTCACGTTTTTTTAACAATCGCAAATCGAATGTATTATGTCTAAAATTCCCTCGATAATTTTACATTATTAAACTAATACTAAATAATTAGCTTTTATATCAACTATAAAATCATTGAAGCAATATCGCACACTAATTATTTAAATGTTACATTTATTCTGAGTAAGCATTCGAGTGTTCTTTATACTTTAATTAACCAAATAATGAAAATAAATTTAAAAAATTGTAAAAAATTTGTAAAACAATCTGTATATGATTATTTATCTTTATAAACTTCTAAGTTCAAAGAGACCGATGTTTTACTTAGACTAAACATTGTTTAATTTTTGAATTCGTATTGATATTTAAATTTTAAATATAGTTACTACTTTTTCATAAATGAACTTTTATCTTAAGAGAGGTGGGCCATAAAAACTTACCAGGCTCTATTTTTTTAAACATATCTTATATGCTTTACTTTTTGTAAATAATGCGCAAAAATACAGATGTATTTACTCTAATTTTAAAAAAATGTGGCAGATTTAAAAAACTTTAAATCTAAAGCAAATCAGATAAAATTACTATGCAAATAATAAAATCAATAAGATATAGATACAATAAAGTTAATAACAAATCTGAATATTTCAATAAAATTATATCAAACAACGCAGATGTAATAAAAATGATCAGAACTTAATTTCTAAGCAAACTTTATTTTTAACAGATATTTAAAGCATTCTCTAGCAATGGAAACATATTAATTGGGTTCTATATATTATGAGTGTTTGCTGTTTGCACTAATAGAACAAATAATTAATAGAAAAAGAAAAAAAAAGGAGCCTTGTATGTTTTTGTATAACAGTGATCAAAAGCTATTTTAGTTTAAAAAAATGTTACCAGTTTTATATTCATATACTTAAACAGTCATATGTTTATAAATTTTGGTATTTTTATGTATGTTTAGTAAACTTTTGTGTGTTTTTGTATGTAAATGTTTGTAGATTTTTATCATCATTATCATTTTTAAAACGAAAACAGCTATAAAAAAACAAAATAGTAGAAAAACTAGTTTTACGTTAAAGTAGGATTAAACTTTAACGACAACATAGTTAAAAAAAAAAAATTTAAGCAGCATTTTTGATTGTTTTTATAATTTGCGATACCAAGTTTGTTATCAAAACACGAAAATTTAAAAGTCCTTCAGTAATTTCGTACCTTTAATTTCGCACGAAAACACGAAATGTTTTAATAAGGAATAATCTAATGATAAGTGATAAATCTTAGAAAGGTATAAAATTCTACCTTAAAAAGTTGAAAATTATATCTTAAAAAAGGTAACTTACCCTAAGGTCACATATCTTACCCTAAGGTAGAAAGTTCTACTTTTTCTTTTAAGCGCTCTTTGCATTATGCTCTTTTTCATCTTAAAAAAAAATAACCAAACCAAATTTTATCTCCGTTTTTTGAATGATAAATAAACTCAAAGTTATAGATATACTACAAATTTAAATATTTAACTGAATTTAAATATTAAAATTCAAATTTTAAAAAATATTTAAACTTATCAAACTTACCATGGTCATGCTAGTAAACACTTTAACTTTTAAATATACAAATTTTGTGTATAAGTATAAACGTGTATGTGTATAGAATGTAAACACGTTTCTCATTTGTATATCCTTGTCATATAACTAAAAAACTAAAACCTTAAAATAAAGAACTTAAGAATAAAAGGACTTTTAACGAAGTTTTAAAATATAAACACTTATAATTGTTTCAAAAAAGAATAGTAAAACAAATCTTATTTATGAATCTGCTAAGCAGTGGCAGTTCAAAACTTGTCGGAGCCTGGACTTATTTTTAAAGCAGGAGGCCTTTTACCATGGGCAATGACAAAATGTTTAAAAAAAGGCTCTCTTGAAAAAACTAGCGCTGATATTTATTTAAAATAAAATTTTATATATATTTTTTCATTGTTTCTAACAATTTTGATTCAATATCTAACCTTGCTAAATTACTTAAACAACTACGCCATATTCGTTTAAGTAATTTAGAAAGATTAACTATTGAATCAAAATTATTAAAAAGAATGAAAAATCATTATTTTTAATAATTTTGCTGATCGATGATCATTGCTGATCATCGATCAGCAATGCTCCATAGTCTCTGGAGCATTGTTGATTGGTGCGATTTCTTTACTCTTTTAAGAGTAGAGAATATTCTCATAGCCTCGCAATTCGTTTTAGAAAGAGTTAGAAGCAATCGTTATACTATATAAACATTCGGCTATACACCACAAATATCAGTGTCAACAATCCCACTTTAAACATTCAGAGGAATCAACGAGTTGTCAATTTCAGCCATATCTTTTTTATGAGAAAAACAACTTTAATATAGGTACGAGTTGTTTTATTTCCAAAATCTTTTAAATTCTTTGAGTACATTTCTAAAAAATATTTTGCGCTAACATTATTTGCGGTAAATAATACTAATAGTTAATAAATAGCTAAAATTTAATAAGTAATTTAATTTAATTAGCTTATAGTTAATTTAGTAGCTAAAGTTTGCGCTGATATAATACTAAAATTTAAATGCTTTAACAGAAATCCAAATAACTTATTTATATATTATTTACTTAGCCATCCCTTTTATAGTTAGTTGTAGAACGACTGAATAAGCGCGAATTTCATAAGTGCGAACTGGCGCAAGTGCGAATGGCGTATATGCAAGCTGAAGTAAGTGCGAAGCGTTGCAAAAACTTGCATAAGTGCGAACTAGCATAACTGCAAAGCAGTTGTAAAAAATAGCACAAGTGCAAACTGGTATAAGTATGAATTTGCATAAGTACGCCGAACAAATTTGCAAACTGCTTTGCACTTATCAAAACAGATAATTTCATCTATCGATAACATACTCTTATATTTTTAACTTTTATAAAGTAAAATTTTTAAAATTCAATTCTTAGTATTTACATATATGAATGTTACATTTATGAATCTTTTACGTTTATTTATTTTCACTTTTAACGAGAATATACATATTTAACAAAATAAATGTAACGACGAAATTGAAAAACAAAGCAGTTCTCGACGACAACCCAGGAAAAAAAGTTCTATAGAATTTTCTATCAACTTTTGTAACATATGGCCTATAGAAACTCTATAGAATTTCTATACAATGTCTATTAATTTCTATAGAAATTGCTATAAAACTTTTTTTTCTATAAAAAAAAGCAGAAAAAAATTTCAATAGGAATTTTTAAAAAAGTTTAAAGAAGGAGAAAAAAGATTTACCTGGGTTAAGGAGAAAAAAGATTTACCTGGGTGGTTTTTAATCTGAAAAAAACTCAAAAATTGTTCATACACGTGGCCATTTATATAATAACGAAATATCACAGAAAGTTGATTCACGTGAGAAATACCAGGAATAGAATCTACAATGGTTTCTCAATAATTTGTTTTTTTTTTATTTCACTTACTATGCGTTAAAAATTTTTGAGACATAGTACCGATAAGATCTTTACAAATAGTTTTAGACAAATAAGATACACCCTTTGCTTTTATTTGTAAAAATCCTAACGTGTTACTTTAAAAATGGATCAAATTGAGTTAACAGTTTTAGCACGTCTAAGCAATTTCTGTTATTTGATGATCCATATAACTTCAATGCCCTCGAAATGCTAAACCTCTTTCGGTTAAAAAATGAACAACCGCTACAAATCCTTTTAAAAACACAACTCAATAATTAATCTTATCTTTAATCTGCTTTCCAATGCATTTCATCGATAAGACCATTTTGTTTTATGATTTTTATCCACTTAATCATACAATCAATATTTCCTGGTTAAAATAGTTTTTAGCTTTTTTCCAATCGAAAACCACTTTTCACAAATACGTTGTTTTAATCGGATAAAAAAATATTGCAAACATAACAAAATACACATCCACTGAACTCAGAAAACATTAACCATTTTTGATCACACTTTCACCATTTTTCAACTCTTTTTGAAAATATTTAGGCGAATTATATCTATACTGGTTTTTGAATACTCGTTTTGAAGATTAAAATTTGATTTTTTAAGGTATGAAATATTTAAGCATACCCTTGCTTAATAATTTCATACGATAATTCTCCTTTTATTATAACAGCCATAGAGCAGGGTCTTCATTTAAAATAGTATCTAAAAAAAAATTTACACGATAAACATTAGCTAATCTAAAAAAATAAAAAGTGTATATGTAATAAGTGTGTTAAAAAGTGAAAATTTATAAGTAAAAATAATATTAAAGCAAACAAAATAATATTAAACAATTTTTTAAGCTGCAGTCTGTTGCTTCAAAACCTGTTGCTAACAGATATAAATATTACCTGAGTTAAGTTTAGCATTACCAATGTAGATTCAACACTTTCTATTTCACGAATTTCATTTGAAGGGTCAATGCAGGCTAACTTATTTTCAATGTAATTGCTTTTATTTTGTCTTTCATCGTTTTTGTTATTTTCTACAGTATGTGGAAATGGCATATTGGTTTAACTCGATGAAAAAAAATATTGCTAATTTCAGAAAAAATTAGCTAACATGTTCCCTCTCTTTCTCTTTCTTCGATCTCCTTTTAGAAACCCCACTTTCATATTTTCTTCGTATAATAATAATAATAATAATAATAATAATAATAATAATAATAATAATAATAATAATAATAATAATAAAATAATAATAATAATAATATTTGTATAACCAATAAAGTGTTAAACTTTTCGTTTTTTTTTCTTGTATCTTCTCTCTCATGTGTTTAGCGCAGCTTTTATATGCACTCACAGAAGAGTTCCTTTGTGCGAAAGTACAAAAGATTTGTAATGTTGCAATTGTTTTTATATTTTATAAAGAGAATTATTGAAATCATTATTAATTTTCCTAAGAGAATTGTTTGTTAGCAATTATTACAAATATTACATTTGCTTTTAGACATACAACATTGGTCCAAGTCCAAAAATTTTTTTAATGCAGTGTTGTTTTTTAAATTTATTAAAAATATATATTTATTTTATATAGGGTCTCCAAAACTTTGGGGCCCGAAACAATAGTCCTCTAGCCTTTCCCCACTTTAATTAAGAATTTTATTGATTTAAACAAAAAGTAAAGTAATAATTAGTTGACCTCATTTTTTAACTACTCAAATAAAGATTTAAACTCAAAGTTTCATCAATGAGTTAAACTCAGTAATTGACATCTTTTAATTTTTATATTAGATTTTTACTTACGCAAACATAAAAGGTAAAAGAATTAACAAAAAACAACCAACAAATGCTTACGACTTTTCGTATATTTTTACTTTGAAATACGAAGATGCAATTAGCCCCGCACATAGTCGTATTTTTTTATATTTTTATTAATCTTAATCACTTTTATTGAAACTTTCTTTATAAATTAGTTTAGAAATGCAATTGAAGCATACAAATATCGTTAAATAATGATTTAAAAAAAATAACAGTTAAAATACCGTTATCTAAACCATTTAATATATACGGTATCCCGGTACACCAGTATTGGATTCTCTAATGATAACATAATAAATATAAAATTTATCAGTTTTTTGCTTTAATAATATATATTATAATAGTATCACTTGCTATTAGAGGGTAAAAATATTTTACCAAATATAAAACAAAATAACCGATTTTTTGTTCATTGTTCAGCTATCTCCCCAGTAGGCACCGGACCAAAAAAAGATGTCTTTTGAACGTTCAGAAGATGTCCAAAACGTTCAAAAAACGTTCAAAAGACGTTAAAAACGTTTAGAAGATGGTTTAAATACGTATTTTTTTCTTTTGTACTGGGTCAACAAGCTTGTTTTGTATGCAATGCCGGATTAACCCGGGCGCATGGGTGCAACTGCGCCCGGCTCCCAAAAAATAGGGTCCCAGCTGAGGCCCATCGATTTTTAAAATATATATGTCAATAAATTCATGGATTTGTTGGGACCTCTATATCACTGCTGCAAGGACCTAAAATTTTATAAAATGTTTAGCTTATTTTGTAAAATAATATGACTGAGCGGAATCAGAATGTTAATGCTTTTGTAGTTAGTTGGCTTAAGGATTTCCAGTTTGTTTTAAATACTCTTCGTTTAATGACAATTGAATGAACTTGCCTACCAAATATAATTTTTGAAGATGTTGTAATTGACTTTGCCAATCCAAAAGAAAAAAAATTTATCTGTGAATAAAAATTCGTTTTTGAATATATTTTTTTAGGGCCGTCAAACAATTTTTGCACCTGCCTCCAAAACCCTTAATCCAACCTTGTTTGTATATATTAACTCTTTAAATAATACAGTACAGCATATATTTTTACGTATGCAATTTATCTTGTTTCTAACACTTGACTTTTCATTCTCGATTAGAAAAGTGTGGTACATTAAGGTTTTTTCCTTTAGGTAATTATGTTTTGGTAATTATAGGTTGTATTTCAAATTATAAACATTCGAAAAATAAACTTATTCGTTTATTTTTTTTTATTTTCAATTTAATTCTTTATTTAATAAAGACCATCGTGAAAAAAAGTAAATATTATATTTTATATACAAAAACGATGCATAGTGACAAGTTTATTAATGCATAGTGACAAGTTTATTAACGCATAGTGACAAGTTTATTATCTTGTATAAAAATCAGATGAGAAGATCCTCTTGATCTTTCTTCAGACACAGATTGTTTGCATTGCAATTTTGTAAAAGTTTATTAATTTTTTTTTCTATCTTATATTTGTTAAATGTTTTTTTAAGGTTCTGACGAAAAGACCCTTGCGATCTTCTTTCAGATACCTTGTTTATGTTTGTCATGTTTTATGCCTTTGTAATTTTATATTATTATTTTTATTATGGGCTGTACATCGATTAACAAATGTAAACCAAAAAAAAAAAAAGTTTATACTGCCTGTTTTGTTCTCTCGACATATAAACAACCTATAAAGAATATTTTCAAATTTGAAAAGTTTTATTAATATTTATAATTTATACATGTATTAATTATAGCAAATTATGGCATTTATATAATTATGGCATTTTGCTAGCCAAATAAAGCCGACTCAGAGGTCGCTTCCATATTTCTAACAACTACTAGTACCTAGAAGAAGTTTTAAAATTAATTAAAAAATTAAAAATGAAGTCTAAATAATTAATTGCCATTTAGCAATCAGAGTTTTATTAAATTTTGTTTAAAATTATATTTGAGTCAAATGTAAATAGAGTTCAGTTTTAAATAGAGTTCAGAGTTAAAGAAGTTCTGTGCAGTTTTTATATGCACTCACAGAAGAAGTTTAAATAAGTTCTGTGCAGCTTTTATATGCACTCACAGAAGAAGTTTAAAGAAGTTCTGTGCAACTTTTATATGCACTCACAGAAGAAGTTTAAAGAAGTTCTGTAAATATAAAATTTTAAAATATTATTATCATAAAGCTGTCTTTATATAAAGACAGTATAGCCATGCTATGACTTTACATATATTTAGCTGTCTTTACTTTACATATATTTGGCTGTCTTTATATATAGACAGTATAGTAAGCTGTCTTTATATAAAGACAGATAATTTTATATAAAGTCAGTTTGTGTAGATATATAATAATATAATCGAGAAATTAGCAGTAAAAAAAATGTGTACGTAATAGCAATAAAATATATTATGTTTATGCAAGTTATGCATGTATATTAATGTATATATTGAAGAAAAAAATGTTTCATTAAATAATTTGATAAAATTATGCTTATCTATCATTTTTTTAAGTTTTGGAAAGAGGTATAAAATATTTTCCCAAGACCCTGCAAAATCCAAGCCGGCCTAATACCCAAATGATAGGACTGATGGGAAAGCTTGAAAAAAATTATACCAAGTTATTAATATTCTGCTGATAATGCTGAGTGAAAAATATAGCTGTATTGGAAAATCTATCATTGGAGAATCATTGCGTAGTGGAGTTTCATTATCGATTTTGATGTTTAGAGCATTATACTGATGTTTGATGTTTAGAGCATTATACTGATGTTTGATGTTTAGAGCATTATACTGATGCATAAAGCAGATTCAATTTGTATGAGTATGCTTAAAATTTAAAAAGAAAACAAAAACGAGTTTCACTGAACAAAAAACAACAAAAGTTTACTAAACAAAAATTCACTGAAACAATTTTAATTAAAACGTAAAAAAATAACTATTCTAAGGATACGCTAAATCTTTTCGTCTCCATTTTTTTTTGGAAGCAGTTGGTAGCGGCCTCCCGAAACATTTTTTGCAGCAAAATGTTATTTCTTCGGCCTCCAGTGGCTTTCGCCTTTCTATTGGCGGCTGCAGGCAGAAAAATTTTTGGAAGCAAAATCATTTAGAGGCTGTCTCCAATGATCTCTGCCTCCCAGCTGGCTGCGGCCACCAAATTTTGTGGCAAATATATTTGCCTCCCGTCAGCTGATGTAGTGAAAAATAGTTTCAGATTTATTTTTAACTCAACAATTATTACTCAAAAATAAAATTTCGTTGTATTTTGCTAATAGTTTTGACAAATTACAACAACAACAATAACAACAACAACAACGACAACAACAACAACAACGACAACAACAACAACGACAACAACAACAACGACAACAACAGCAACAAAAACAAATTCACGATCTATAAAACATTAAAAAGTATTGACTCTACTTCTACTTAATACGTTTACAAGTTCAAAACGCTTAAAAGTCTAAAACTTTTAAAAGTTTAAAAAACTTTAAATTGAGTTTGAAAAGTTTCAAAACATTTTAAAAGGAGTATTTAAAGGTTTTAATTGTTTTATCGAAACAATTAAAACCTTTAAATATTAATTACCTTATGAGGTAATGCTACCTCATAAGGTAGACTTTGTGACATAAAATGAGCTACACCATCTTTAATTCAGAAACGCTTTGGATTAATTTTATTTAGGGTAAAGTGACCAAATTCCAGCCGCATCTTTACAAAATTGTTTCTACAGACATATTAACAAAGAGGTCTATATGAAAATTATACATTTCTAGAAAGATAAATCTTTCAGCATTTAGGATATAATTACAGCAATTATTATAAATAAAAAATGTTTGATAAAACAACGATTACAAAAAGTATATAAATTTGACCAAAATACAGCCACTATGACCAAATTTCAGCCAGGCGTATGCGGAATGAACCTAATTACAGCCAATATAAATAACAAGCTTTTTATAATACTTTTATGGGTTGGCATTTAAAATATTTTAAAATTAATTGAATTACTAAATATTGAACCAATAATTTTTTTGATGTGATCTTAAACATCAGTTAGAAAATGATTGCTTAACTTAATACTAAGCATTTATCAACAAATAAACTTAGTAAGGATGCCTAAATCTAAAAAAAATAAGTTTTCAGGACATGACTTTAAAACTATTCAAAAATGATTTTGAAACTATTTTAAAAGATTTGCATAGAATATAATATTCACATTAAAAAAAAAAAAGAATTCAGTGAACTCTATAAAAGACTTTTTTAAACACTAAGAACAAAAATTCATAACAACATGATCAAATTACACATTGCTTTTTTATACTTTTATTGGTTCATTTTTATAGCAACGGTTTTCTTCTAGGACTATCTTTTGACAATACCGTTGCTTCCTTTATTTTTAAATTTTGTAGTCTTTTCAATTTACGCATTTCTTTTTCCTTTTCATTTTGAGCTTGTTTTTGCTTCTGCTTTAACTGTGACTCATATGCTTCCTTAGAAGTAAGCACAAAAAACTTGTCTGCATTCTTAGCTTTTTTGCTCTTTGTAAAATTTGGATAAGAATATGGCAAAATGTCATTATCTCCATCTCCTGGATAAGATGAATTTTTAAAGGGGAAATTTGGAGCAAAAGATCTAGTTTTTGCAAAATCAGAAGCTAAAAGAGTTGAAACTGTAAAATCAACTTCATGCTGATCAATAGGCTGTTCAATTTCAGAGTAAGTCATAATCCTAAAGCTGTCTTGAAACTTACTAGTAGCTTTATTACTTGCAGCTTTTAGTTCTATAGTTTTCATATTTAGTTCCACTAAATCATCACTCCTATGTTCTACTACGGTTATTGGTTCAGCTAAATAGTCGTGATCATTTGCTACAGCAAATCTTGGGTTGGTAATTAGATGTTGCTCCAACTCAATATCTGGTAAAAGTACTTTTGTGCTGTCTGTTGTTTGCTTAATCTGCTTAACTATTGTTGTATTATCAACTGTTTTAATTTGATCAAAGAGATTAGTCATTAACCTGTCTTCAGAATACACATAGTTTGGCAAGTAAGCTTCAGCTGGAATAATTGAAGGATTATATGGAAATATTCCACATGATTTAAAGCCAGATTCAATATTAGCTTTTGTCATACTTTTATTCCAGGCTTTGGTTAAAAGTCCTGTAAAATTGGCCTTGTTTATTATAACCCCAGGGTGATTAGACATCATATCCTGGGCTGCTTTATTATATGAAACTTTGAATGGCTTAAATACAGTTCGATCACAAGGTTGAAGCTGATTGCTTGTATGAGCAGGTAATTCAACAATTTCAATTCGGTTTTGTATGGCCATATCTATTAACTCTACGAAATTATGGGAATCGTGGCCATCTAAAATTAAAACTTGTGGACGTTGTGGTCCAATGTTTTTTAAAAATGTAAGCTCAAACCATAGTTTTGCAATCCCTTGTTTAGTCCATCCAGATTCACTTGGACTCCAGTTGGTTCCTTCAGGGGCATCTAGAACTTGAAAACTTTGAAGGGATTTTACTGTTTTTCCTTTTGGAATCACATGAGGTGGTAAGGCTCTTCCTGCTGCATTCACACAAACAATTAAAGTAATCATTTCTCGATTTCCACTTGTTCTCATATGTAAATATTTTGTACCTTTTGCAGCAACTATTTTGTGCGCCTTAAAGTCTAGCTGCAGTCCTGTCTCATCCATGTTCCATATTACTTCAGGCTGACAGTCTTTAATGACTTCTTTAAGTGCAGTAAAATAATTTGCCACCTTTATCAGATTCATGCATTGATGACGAACTGATGCTGTTGATTCTGGTTGTCGAAGAGTTACTTTTTTGTTATGTCGATTGTTAAGTAGTCGCCACCATTTATTAGATGGTTTGCCATTCTTAAAAGAATATCCATATTTTTTGGCAAGCTTGCCAGCATATACCAAGAATTGTTCTTTTCCAAAACCAATGCCCATCCTAGCTCTGTTGTCTGCAAAATCAAGTAACTTTTTTTCAAGATCAAGCGGCATTAAACTTTTTCTTCCTGCTTTTGCACCAATCTCAACTTTTCCATTTATCCTGCTCTGCAAAGTTGCTCGGGGTACTTTAAAAAATTTAGCAGCAGCTCTAACAGACATTTTAGGTGAACTAATAACACTGTTTATAGCTTCAAGTAACACTTCCTCTTTATATTTCATATATTTACCTCGAGTTGGATGACATTGTTTCTTATTATAAATTTTATTTTTATTATCAGCCATTCTAAAATGAAAACTTTATATTATAAATTATTAAAATTTTCAATTAAAGATTATTTTTTAATATAATTTCATTTATAAGTGATAATTTACATGAAACAATATAATATCTTTCAATTATTTAGACTTTTGTTTATTTTTAAGTCATTATCCTCAAATTTTAAAAATATTATATAAATATTTAACTAAATAAATGCAAATATTTAAGATTGATAACTTTTAGGACATAAATGTAACATAAAGTACTTATATTAAAAGAATAAAATCTAATAATATAAATATCATACAAGTATGAGTTACTTTTAGACACTCGTGAACCTAATTTCGGCCTTGGCCGGAATAAGGTTTATACCTGGCCGGATTTTGGTCTTTCTACCAGGTGCAATTAATTAAGAAATACAATCTATAGTAATGAAATTACTATAGATTGTATTTCTATTTATAACATAATTATAAAGCTAAAACTGTCTTTTTAAGAAATATATTTATAGTTTAAAATAATTAACATTTCGTTAAGTAATAAATATTTAATATTTATAAGCTTCAAACTGGATGCTTACATGATATTTTAAATATAAAGTAGTACTTTTTTAAGATAAATATTTTTTATGATGTTACTTCTATTATAAACAGCCGCCAACTATAACAATGCTTTTTTTATTGGCTGAATTCATACCAGTCTCAAAAAAGTAGCATTTACAAACATAAAGCAGAAAACAAGACAGAAATAATAAATTTAAAATGTGGCTGGAATTTGGTCACTGGCTCGAATTTGGTCAGTTTACCCTAATGTTAATTTCATTTGCTGCAGCCATTCAAAATATTGAAAAAATTTTCTCGTTGATAGTTTGTTGTTTTTATTGTTGCCTTTTTTAAATGTTCCAACCTTTCATTTATTAAGAATCTACTCATTTAATAAGAATAAAGATAACTATGCTATTATTATGATTATATGCATATATATCAACTACATAGTATATTATAGATAGTACATTACGTCATTTACAACAAGTAAAAAGTATTATCTTTTTAAAAAAGTAATATCTTTTTTGACAAATTGTTTACGAGAGTTTAAGCTTTATGTAGATAGACATAAAGCTTAAACTCTCGTAAACAATTTCTTTAATTTTTTCTTTTTCTTTTAATTTTCTAACAATTTTTTTTAAAAGATTACTCTTATTACTTGTTGTAAATGACGTAATATAATGTGTATAATACAGGGTTTTTCACCTCATTTCAAGGCCTTCTTAAACAGGCCGCGACAGCTCAATTTCCGTAAAATTAGCGAAGGCCGACTTTTTTACGGTTAAAATTATTTTTTATCTTTGCTTTTGTAAACAAACTTCAGAAACAAATAAAGAGCTTTATTAGGACAAAACATATTGATTGAATTTCGAAAGCAAATATTGTAGGAATTTTTTTTACGTTTAGAAATAAATTAATTACAATAAAAATTTAAGGAGTTTAGCTAAAAATGACTAAATCTCGTTTTTATAACTATATGTTTATTTTAGCTGTTTAACACTTGTAATACAAATAATAAATTTTTTGATAAAAACAAACAAATATATTAACTTTATTTTATTAAAATTATTTTGACTTTTTTGACTCAAAGTGTTTTATTTTGAAGTTGAAAGTTTTGCTTGTTTTATTAAACATTCCTTCCCAAAATCTTTAGAGTGTTTTTTACAATAATTGTTTAAAAAAATGTTTGCCAAAATGCAGCAAACTTTTTTAACACTTTGAACAAGCAATTGAAATTTACTATTGCAGTTAATAAAAATGTCAATTAATCCTTTGTTGCACAGCAATGGTGTAACTTTATTCACAAGTGTCACTTCAAATATAAAAAAATAATAAAAAACAAAATAGACTAAATTGTCAGAAGGCTTTCCCTGTTCAAAGAACTGATCAAAGTTCCATGTTTTTGAAACATATCAAAGGTGTCTGTTTCTTCTAAAATTGAGTGTAATTCTGGAAGTTTGTAAGCAATAAAACCTGCAATATATAAAAGCCCTTGTTTGCATTCATTTGGCAAGTGATCCTCACAATTTTCACATATTGACATATTAAACTCAACATAAAATTCACACTTATCACAGTGGTGGTGAGCAGGAGGAAATATTGTAAAATCTGTATGTTTGTCTAGCAACTTTCTAGTTTTGTCGATTCTAAATTTTTGAATATCATTTTGCACAGTTATCAGATATGTGCTACCTGACCCTTGCCGATATTTCCCAAACTGTTTTTCTAGTGCATCTGATTGCATATGTCCTAACAATACATAAGATACACCGCAATTCAACAAATACTTGGCACAGCTTGCTAATCTTTTAGAAGTTTTTTGCAAAGCACTTGCAGTATCCATTGTTAACTTTTTCTCTCTTAATTTTGAATTTACACATTTCAAATTTTCAGCAAAATACGAAATATAGTTCTCTAAGAAATCTATTTGCCAATCATTGACTGAAGAAATAGGCTTTTTTCGAATATCATTTAATCTAATAACTAGACCTTTTGCTTTACTGTTGACAATAAGCCACCACTTAACAACTGTTTCAATAAAAAGTGCAGTATCTTCAGCTTCAGGAAATTATACATGTAATGCTGCAACTGTTTCATCACAAAAAACTTTAAGAACTAATCCAACATTTTGTCGCTCAATCGGTTTTGGTGACACAGCTTTTTGTGTTAAGGGTGACAACTTAACTATTCGACTATCTGCAGCATGAAGTTGAATTATAAATTTCCATTCTGCAAGTCGCACAGTATCGTTATCATTTAGCAATCTATATTTTAAACATTGTAATTGTTCAGTGATCCAATTATTTCGAATACATTTTAAAATATGCACAGTGTCATTTAAAAGATAGTATGCTGGAACTTTTTTTGCATTAAAATATTGAAATGTTTTTTAGTTTACTCAACAGTTATCCATTATTAACCCAAGAGGCTTTCCACCTGCAATTATGATTTGTTGATTTATCTTTTCTATCACGCTTCTTTGAAAATTTGTTGTAGAATTTGTAGCAAAACAAGCTTTTCAACGAGATCAAAATATACTAAACGAGATTTTGAATAAAGATGCAATGCTTCAGAAATGTCTTCTAAAGAAAATGGTGTATTGTTTGTTTTATTTAATAAAGCTACTTGATGCCTAATATAACTTGCTCGCTTAGAATCTGTTTCATTATTAATAACATAACTAACAGCATTCTCCAGTTGAGAATAATATTTATTAACTCCTTTTTTAAAAAAAGACAGTTTAATTTGTAAAAGTTGGCTTTATACAGTAAAATAAATATCTCCAGAATCTTCTAAAGTTATATATATTGAAAACTTAGGTACTGGTCCACAATGTTCATATGATATTAAAGATATATTTTTTTCTTTTTCAACAAAATAAAATTTTTCTTCACAGTTATTTATTATTGACTTCAAATTTTTAACAATTAAATTAAATTTAATAACGTTCATTTTTTTAAAGTTTTCGAACTCATCAGGTAAATTATTTCTTTCAGAGCATATTAACCCAGTGACATCTCGTTTTCTAGACACTATTGGAATACAAGACACTGGTATACCTTTAAAGACTGATGGAGGATGCACTGGAACAAAACTACCACCTTTGACTTTTTTTAATTCTGCATCTTTAGGCCAGTGCTGAGCACAAATTAGCTTATAATCTGTAAACACAAAGTTTGCATTTGGAAGTTTTTTAATCCATAACTTATAGTTTAAATCAAACAACCAAAATCCTCATTGAAACTTTAATTCTCCGTAAAAAAGTCGGCCTTCGCTAATTTTACGGAAATTTAGCTGTCGCGGCCTGTTTAAGAAGGCCTTGCCTCATTTTGACAATGTATCGCTACATTTCGACACTTTTGCATTCAATTTCGACATTGTATCACTACATTTCGACACTTTTGAATTCAATTTCGACACTGTTGCATCGCATTTCGACAATTTAAAAACACTCTATTTTGAATTAAAGTATTTATATTTATGATGAAAATTTTTGTTAAATAATAATGGGTTGAATTTAATCGGGACAATAAAATAATTAATGCGGCTATTTTTTTAATACTGCATAATTTAAAGTGGGTACTGACATCATGAATATGGTTTCAATATTTTTTTGGATATACGTAAAATATATAGGTAAAATAAACAATGTGGATATTAATTATTTCAAGTTACCGTAATAGTTGTTTTTAATTGCTATATTTATTATTTTTATTGACCGGATAAATTATATCTAATTGCCAAAAAAAAATATCTACGCTTTGGAAAATATCCCAACAATACATAATTAAATTGTCATCAAAAAATAAATTAATGTTATAATTTTTTATTAACTAAATAAAAGCATTTGACGCTTCAATACAACAAGAGTTCATAATAAAAGGTTAAATATCATTTTGAATATTTATAAACAGCAATGCCGAATCAAACAATCAACAATGAAAACCGTTCAAGGATAATTGAATCTTACTTAAATGGAAACTCACCATCAGAAATTGCAAATATTCTTGGATTTAAACGAACTACAATCTATTCGATTATTAAAAAATATAAAAATGGTTTGCCGTTAGAACGGCAATTAAAAGGTGGTTCTATAAACCAAAAATTAACTGAAAAATCCAAGGTACTAATCAAAAAATGAATTGATGATAATTGTGAAATAACTCTTAAGGAAATTGAACAAAAACTTTTTGAACAAAAATCCATTTCAGTCAGTCAATCTACTATAGCAAGATGCATTGATAGTTTTAGTTATACTTTGAAACGTGTTCACAATATTCCAGAGAGATGAAATTCGGAAGACGTTATTAATAAAAGAGCTTCTTATGCAAAAAGATTCATGAACATTTTGTCTTCTATGAATGACAATAAAATATTCTTTATTGATGAAGTAGGATTTAGTCTTTCAATGCGAG